CAGCAACAAGAAAGGCTCCTCGGCCCCCAATTCTGAGAAACAGGCAATAACAGACACCACACCATTACACATAAGGCGCCATATAGAGAGCCTCATAGACCAATTCAGGAATGAAGTTATCAATGACCTGAAGCTAGAAGTATGCAAAATAGTTAGAGAAATACTAAGCACCACCCAAGAAAAAACAGATGGTGGAATGGAAGAACAGAAAAAGAGGGGAGAAGTGTTTGATGGAGAAAACAGGGAAAGCATAGAATACGTGAAGCAGGTTCAAAGGGACTACCAAGAAACTAAGAAGTCTATCGAAGACTGGCATAACAGCTTGAAAGAAACTAAGGACAGACTATCTGAACTGGAGGGCAGAATTGTAATATGGGAGAATGAAATGAAAAACTTCTTAAAAATAACAAAGAAACAAACAGCAATAATACAAAGACAAGAAGATGATAAGAGGAGCCATAACTTAAGGATTAAGAACATAAAAGAAGAAGTAGGGACACAAACAAATGAACTACAAAAGCTACTCACAGAAATAATCCAGGAGAATTTTCCTAATTTAGCAAAAGGTAAAGATACTCAGATGTATGAGGCATACAGGACCCCAGCTACCTACAACCCAAACAGAGCAACACCCAGGCATATAATAATAAAAATTCCAGAAATTCAATACAAGAACAGAATATTAAAAGCTGTCAGAGACAAGAAGCAGACCACTTACAAGGGAGCACCCATCAGAATTACAGCAGATTTCTCTGCACAAACCATCAAATCACGAAGAGCGTGGGGGGAAATAATTCAAGCTTTGAAAGATAATAATCTCCAGCCAAGATTGAGATATCCTGCACAACTGTCCCTCGAAATTGATGGAAAAACAAGGTGCTTCCAGGATAAAGAGGAACTGGGGGAATTTGCAACCACCAATTCAACTCTACAGAGAGTATTGCAGGATATTCTAAAAAAAGAAAAATACAAAGAATCCAGAAATCATGGAGGCCACAACGAATGGAGCAGAGAACAAAGTGAAGAAGACAAACTGACAGCTACTGACAGAATAAGAGCTCAACAGAAATGAGGCAGAGAAGATTGGATGATAGGAACAGCTATTTTGGAGAAAATGACATCTTAATAGGTAATACTGATTTAGTATCATCTTGTTTTGAAGTCTCATCTAGCTTTTGTCCTTCTGTCTCCAATGGTCCAAATAGGTTGTATCTTACTGGATTTTATTATGTATGATAGTATAAGCAAAAACCTTTTAAAGACAAGATTATACAGAAACCATTGTTCATTTTCTGTTAGTCGATTCTAAATACTCTGTAATGCTGTCATTCTCTTGAATGGTTTTACATTGTTTTGATATACTTAATGCTACAGTATACGAAGTTGTACTCAAGGATTTCAAGGAAAGAGATAATATGGTAACTACTTTTAGGTCAGGATTATCTGGTGGTGAAACACTATTCTGCTTAAATGGTTATGTTTTGATCTGTGCTGTTTCGTTGTTATGCCCTCTTTTATCTCAATCTCCACTCCATTATTTACTTTTTTATTTTTATCCTTTTAATTAAAGGAAAAAAATAGCAGGATATATTATAGTAACCCACTTTGACTTTCCATTACCTCGATTTAAAGCCCTGTATTACTCTCACCATCTGGTTTTTAACTGATGTTCCCCCATTCTGTTTTGCTGGATAGTATCAGGTTCGAAAATTTAGGCATCAGCTGTGAAGATAATGAGATTCATTATGACGCCCATTCTCATTGACTTTTATCTATTTTTGAAGACCTACAATGTCTCCAATGTTTTGGTTTTGTCGGTTTTATTCTTTACAGTTTTGTTCAATTGTATTGTAACTAACAATATAGGCAATTCTATTAGAGATAGCGGGAGGCATTATGGTAACCATTGTTGATCACCTTGTATTATGTTTTCACATTATCTATTATGTCCACCCTTTTGACTTGACCGACTCTGTTCTGTTATGTCACATTTGGTTTTACTCTCTTCCAAAAAAGTAATAAGAACCATGGGAGCAATGAAACCCAAAATGTGTAATAGTCATTGTACAAAAGAGAGGAAAAGAAAGTGCTCTGTACTATATAACTGCATGTATATTTAAGTGTATAAGATAGAAAATGATATCACAGAGTTTTATTGGATCATTGAACAGAACTGTTTGCAGTATCATTGATGGAATGTCCACTTTACAAGCTTTAATTTTGTGACTTGAACAATTATTTCTAAGATGACAATATGTAATCCATTAACTAGTAATTTCCTACTGTTCATTTTTTTTTCTGCAAATCTGTATAACTTGTACCCTTTCTCTGCTTTTTTTTCTTTTCTCCTTAAATAAAATTAAAAAAAAAATTAAAAAAAAATAAAAATAAACTGTCTTTCATTATTCTTTGCAGGGTTGCCTTGGTGATCATGAAGTTCTTCAGCTGTTCTGTTTCATGGAAGTATCTTATTTCTCCATCAGTTTTGAAGGACGGTTTTTCAGGGTACATCAATCTTTGTTGGAAATCATTTTCCTTTTGGATCCATGCTCTTCACAACTTTATTGTTTGTGTAGAGAACTCTGCTGTGATTCTGATAGGTTTACCTTTATAGGTGATATGTATTTTCTCTCTGACAGCTTTTAATATTCTATTCTTATGTTGGATTTCTGGGATGGTGATTCTTATATGTCTGGGTGTAGTTTTATTTTGGTTATGGCTATTTGGAGTTCTATATGCTTCACTGATCCTGATGTCGGTTTCTCATCTCATGCTTGGGAAATTTTCAGCTATTACTTCTCTAAAATATCCTCTTGACATCCTTTATGTTGTCCCCTTCCTTTTTCATTTATCCCATCAGTCTTATGCTGTTTTCTTTGCATCATCTTGCAGCTGTTGAATTGTTATTTCCTGATTCCTTGTTATTTTTAGAAGATTTTTCCTTTCCTGTTCACTAATTACAATCTTGTCTTCGAGGTCTTAAATTCTATCTTCACTTTCATTGAGGTAGTTTTTACAACTTTCAATGGTAGTATTGATTTCCTGTATATCTCTTTGTATCTCCTTTATGTATTGTTTCTTATATTGTCAATTGAGAGATTCTATCATTTTGTTTAGTTCCTCCAATTTTTTTTAACTGTGTTCTTTAGATATGTTCAGCCATAGTATTATTTTTGACACTAGTGTCTGTTCAGTGTGTCTGTGGCAGTGAGAAGTTAATATGTGGTAACCAAAATTTTTGTAAAGATAAAAGTAGCTTAATGGCACAGAAAATAATATGAATTACTCCTTGCTTTTTAATTGACACTGTAAAGCTGCTTCAAATTTCCTTTCTTTAGTTCAGTATCTGCAAAAGTAAATGGAAGGCACAGAATACTTCTTTGGGCAATTTCTGAGTATTACAAACCCAAGAATGCAATTCTTTAGAACATGCACAGAAATATTTCAAAGTTTTTTTCTCCTGAGTATTAATAAGTCTTTTGAAGCCCCAGATATAGAGAACCGCATTAAAACAGAGTTGGACAATGAAGAAAAGAAGCAAAACTTGTTGATAATCTTGAGTTTTTTAAAACCATACATTAGCAGAATAGGATATAGACAAAGGGTGGTAATGAAGATTTTTGTTGCTGAGGTTGTGTTCTTTTTAGTGGTATCAGAGGTTAAACACATGTCATTTTTGCTAAGCTGTATCTCCAGCCCTTTTCAAAATTTACTTACTTTTAAATGGTCTCACTAAATTACTCATGGTGCACTTGAATTTGCAGACCTTCTGCCTCACTCCTATAGTGCTGGGATTATAGGCCAACACAGTTGAAGTCAATTTTAATCTTACCTCTTTTTTCTTCATTTGTTATGCATGTCTGGAGTGCACATTGGTTACACTCATCATGTAGAGCTGGTCCATCTACATGATCTAATTTTTTTTTTACTTCTCTTTACCCTCCATCATTTCCTTCTCCCTCCATCTCTTACCAAGTAGCTTTGGCAAACTATAAATAACACTGAGTTTTGGTTTTGTCATTCAAAAAAGGGATTTCTCTACTCAGAACTGTAAGTTTACAGAGCAAAAAAGAAAACATGTAAAGAATGTAATTAGCTATTTAATGTTCAATAAATGTTTGCTGCTTCATTATTATTAATAAAGTAATATACAGTATGTATATGTACATGATATATATGTATGAATATACATATTTTAAAAAGACAAAAATAAAAACGATACAGAATTTTAAAACAAGATAATAGAAAATCAATATATTGCATATTGCATATTGTTATCTTCAAAGTAGTTGTTCAGATTGTAAGATATATGCATGGATAACTGATCAAATCATGTAAGCATAACAATTTTTTTCGATGAACTAAAAAAATCAGAGGTATAACTACCTTAGTTATCTTTGTATATATATTTTGTTCTTTTTCCTTCCTTCTTTATCCTTTCACCCATTTTAGTTGTTCTTTTCTTTTGAGCAATTTCTTACCCTTTTACACTACATATTATAGATTTTGGATCTTATTTACTTTTTTGGTTTCTTATACTAGGGAGAAAATATGATGTTTACACATACAACCCATTTATAAATGGGTTTTATATATTAGATAAAGTCTAATCCAACATCAGATCAAATATTCAAATTAAACTGCACAGTACTATGTTGGGAAAATAATAACATTTAACAAAATGTATAGTGAAAATTTACTTTGTAAATAACCTTCCTCAAAATAAACATTTTTAAACTGATAATATCTGAAGACAGAATTTCAAAGAGGAAATACAAACCAAAAAATACTACTTTAAAACAAAAACCTTTTTCATTGTCACTAATCTTCTATAATCCAATACATTTGAGTGGGCTAGAAAGAAATTTAGCTTTACTTCAACACACTGGTTAGATATACAAAAAGTTTTTAACAGAATGAAGACACATAAAAAAGCATTCTTTCTAAGACTTCGCAGTTATTTGAATCTGATTATAGGTACTTGCAAAACACAAAATAGCTAATTATCAAATAAGCTTTAATTTAAATGAACAAAATAAAAGGATACAAAAATATTTGGCTTCAGCAAAAGTTTATATTTCTATAATCATGAAGAGTTTTTTAAAGGCTAATTTCCAAATTTACATTGAAGTATGCTGCATGATTTTTCTTATTAGTTGGAAAAATATGGTTGGACTCAAGTAAAGCAGTTACACAAAACACATGCTCCAAAACTGAAACTAAAATCTTAAATACATACAAAACATACCCACAGTATTCCTAGGATATGTAAACAGAAAGAGCCAGTTACAAAATGGTATTGGGTTTACAGCATCATCCACTCTCACTAGTCATTTCCTTCTTGTGCATTAATATGTGACACCATACTCTCATGTAATATTTTATCAGAGTGAAATAAAAAGCCCCTCCACATTATACCTATAAGATAATCAGATTCTGTAGTGCTCATTATGACTGTAATTATGTAACAAAACTCTCCAAATATAGTTCAGTTATTGCAGTTATTAATCATTCTGGTTTTGTTTCAAGTACTTGCTTTACAGCTTGCTGGATAGACTCCATTATTTTATAAGCTTAATGTGGAAAGTCAAATCTGCGCATGTGAGTCTGCTGTTCCAAAGGCCTTTCAACATAATTTACCCTTTCAATTAGTATTTGTGAATATGGAAAAAAAAATTAGGGAAATAAACCTGGTGTCAATAGAGTCACTGACCTTTGCAGTAAACAGAAGACACTTCTTAACAGAAAACAACTTTGCAAATAAGAAATCTATTTTGCTATAATTAGAAACTGTGCTGCTTAAGAAGCTAGCCTCAGAATAACAATCAGTTCTTACCAAAAAATCTGTACATCTGATTAGGTGGGAAACAGTAAGTGTGTTGGCAAGGAGCATCTTTAAAGGGTTAAAAGCACCATGAACAGAATATAGTTCTAAACATTTTATGCACAAAACCATGTATTCTGATTAATTTAACCATAAAATACCAGGTAAGAGACACCAGATTTATTACACAGAACAAATACCATCTGTGCCACCTTATATCGTTGCTACAGATATATATCTAGGAAAATATACAACTGAAAAACTCTTAAGCATAAGTTCTGAAATGGTAAAGTATTAACTTAATAGAATTGCAAACAGATCTAGGAAAAGTGACTGTATAATTAATTATTTAAACATTAATTGGAATACAATACACAAAATAATAAATATAGTAATGAATCAACATGGTTTAAAAGTTTCAGGTCCCTGGCTTTCTGTTGCCCCCACTCACACGACTGGACCCATGATTGTCAGGGTGATGTGAGAGTGTGAGAGTGGGGAAGCTTTTGTTATTCAATGGCTGGACTTCTGCAGCCATTTGAAAAAAAATCATGTCATCATTTTCCCATGCTTTATAATTTTTTCAGTTTAGCCACATACATTGGGCCCCAGGCTTTGCCCTTATCTGGAATCACCAGGAGCCCACATTCTTGGCCAGTGGGAGCAAATGTGAAGTCTTGGGAGCAATGTTTTGTGAATCCCCTAAGGTCCATAGGCACGATGTTACTGTAGGAGTTTAAAACTTCAGTGATCACATCTTGATTTTCTGCCTTGGAAAGTGTGCATGTAGAGTACACAAGTAACCCTCCAGGACGTAGGGCTTTGATTGCAGACCTAAATGTGAACACGAAAATGAGATTCATTGGGTACATTAAGAGGAAATAAGAGGGTCTGAGAATAATAAAGGTAATATCCTTGAAACTAACCTTACTCTGACTCAGACAGCAATGACTTTGGGGGATTTTCATCCTTATACCTCATTCTTCCTTGACTTATTCCTGATGACTAGGGAAATCAAGATAGAGAGGACAGAGTATGTTTGATGGATGGTTGTTTTATTATCTAAAGAACAGGGAAAAGGAGTTAGAACATGTCAGACTAAGTTTGTGCTTGAATTAATGAAAACAAAAGTGAAAATGAAGATATTAATTGAAAGCATCCAGAAGAATTCACTGATTCCATCCATACTGCATATATTCCAAGTTGGATAAATAGGTAAAAAGCTAGAAAGATTTTGTATTAGTTTTCCCATTGCTATGACAAAATACCTCATAAAACAATTTAAAGGAAGAAAAATTTATTTCTGCTCAGGGTTATAGAGGTTTCAGTCAGCTGGTTCTGTTCCTATAGGACCTTAGTGAGGCCCACATCATGGTGCAGGCTGTGGCAGAGGCAAGCTGCTCACCTCATGGCAGTTAGAAAACAAAGAGAAAGTATGAAAGAACCAAAGAGATGGTCTAGGATTGGATAGGCCCTGTGGTCAGGTTCCCATGACTACCCACTCCTTTTAACTAGGTCTCACTCCTAATAGCCAGTTAGCTATGAACTCAACAGTACATTGATCTTTTAATGAAGTTAGCACCCTAATGGTCCAGTCACTTCCCACAAGCCCATCAGCTGGTCTATGTGTGGTACATTTTAGATCCAAATCATAACAATCTTTAACTAAAAAATGGAATAAATTATTTGGGGTGACCTAAGACAGCCACTGTACATGTTGGTCCCCAAAACAAAAACCTCTGAATGGTACATTGAAGGGGCCTCTACAGTTACATCCAAGTCATTAAATAAAATCATCAGGAAAAAGTCACCCCCTTGAAAATAAAGCTCTAGTACTTTATTGTCTCATTATAAAATAAAAATATATATTCAAGGATTACCAGATAGTTAAGGATAAGACATGCTTAATAAATGTGTAAAAGAAATAATACAAACAAAACAACAGACAAAACAAAAAATTATCCTAAATTAAAAAGTTTAGAGAACATAAGAGACATGAGATCCAATGACTACAGAAAGATCTTCAAACATACAACAACTATGAAACAATAACAGAATGCCATGAGAAAAGCTCTTGGAAGTTTCACATATGTTTGCTAAAATAACAAATACTCTACAGAACTGTTTGAAAGATAACACAGAACCCCACCCTCAAAGCAGAACAATAAGAGATTGATTGAAAATAAGATACACAGGATCTATCAATGGGTCCAAAATTCAATTAAGAGGAGTAAAAAGATAACACAGAGAATCTGAGCAAGACCTACATTAATTAAATAATAAGAGAATAATGAGAAAATATGACTCTTCAGCTTAAAATAATTCACTAAAGCGCTAGCATACATTATTTATCTGCTGAGCATCCATTATATGCTAGGTACTGTTCTAGGTGTTTGGATATGCATAAATGGATATATCACTACCAACAACAAAACTTCCTCATATTATGAAAATTAGATTTTAGTAGGAAGACAGAATGCAAACATAAGAATGTCAAGGAATGCCCTATGCCCAAATCCATATTTTGAAGTTCAAATACCCACTACTTAAGAATGTGAATGTATTTGGAGATACAGTATGCGAAGAGGTAATTAAGCTAAAATTAAGTGCTTAGAGTGGGATATTAATCAAGTATGTGGGGTATTCTTATAAGAAAAAGAAATTTAAACACAAGAGTTTCAGAGAAAAGACTATATAAAGACTCCAGAAAAAAAAGCAATTTATAAGCCGTAAAGAGAGCCTCTGGAAGAAATTAATCTTGCCAACACCTTTATTACAAATTTCTAGCCCATAGAACTGTCAGGAAATAAAGTATTGTTTAAGCGACCCAGCATTTATTATATTGTTGTGGCCACTACTGCAAACTAACACAAAATATATACATATACACATAAATACACAGGCACATTAATAGACACATGTGTGTATGTTCACATATGTTTTTATTTAGTATGTTATTTCTATAACAGAGACTATAAAACAAAGGGAGGATAAAAGGATTAGAAGTCCTTGATGATGTGAGATTGCAATTTTAAATAAAAAGAAGTAATTTCAGAAAATGACATTTGAACCAAACCTGACTGATGTAAGGGTCTGGGACAATCAGATGTCTGATGAAAAAGCATTCAATGAGATGACTGAAGCATGGTCAAGGAAAAAAGCCAGAGTGGCCAGGAAAGTGAGCCAGGGAATGGCAGGTTAAGCCTGAGGAGGGGAGGCGGTGTGGAGGGTCCTGCAGAATACTGCAACAACTTCAACTTTATAAAGAATGAAAAACAGCCATGCTTAGATACATCACTGTTAAATTTTAAAACTTCAAGAATAAAGAGAAAATATTAAATGTTCCCAGAAGGAATGGGGTCCCTACTAAACAGGCCATCATAGGGTTCAGGAATTGGTATGGCAGTGGAATAGTATGTTCTAAATCCTGATTAAAAAAATAAATAAATTTCTTTTTACAGCCAACTCATCAAATAAATATTTAAGAGGACTACAGAAAGTTACAGATATCTGGTAACTCAAAAATTATACCTCTAGGAAAAGGAGGAGGTAAAACAAAAAGCAACAGATGTGATTCAGAAAACAGTAGATGCAACAGAGGAAAGCAGGGAAGGCAGCAGCAAAGTCTCAGAATGAGAGCAACAGGGAGGCCTAGAGGTCAGCTGTTCCTGACCCCAAAGGGAGGGAGGTGCTCATAAAGAAGAAAGAAGGATATAAGGAAATAGATGAAATGACCGAAAACAGAAAACTGTAAAGACTGGGTACTGTAAATATTTGGTATACGTAACTGGGAGAAGGACTGATTTTCCTATCTAACTTGGCTCTAGGAAAATTCTTCTTTCATTGGTGTTCCAAGCACAACACTAAACCAACAGAGAAGGAAATTTAATTTTAGCACATTACTCTATTCTAGTGAACAATATTTATAGAATTGAACAGCATGCACCACTTATTGGTCTGAAATATTCAGCATCATTGCATAGACTGACATTAATAATGTCTCAAAAGCAATTATAAAATCTCAGAATTCATACTATCAACTTTGACAACATGAACATGAAAGTATCATTGTAAGGTACTGAGAAGATGAAGGGAGGGAGGGACAGAAGGCAGGATGGGCATAAAATAATCTCATTTTACAGAGAAACCAAGAGATATTCCCTGGTTACTTTTAAGAAGAAAACAAAGGCTGATGCATATTTAAGAGAAATTTTACATCACTAAAACAGTAAGAAATTTAGGTCTGAGTATACAGTAGTAACTGTACAGATCGGACAGAGGGAGGAATGGGTAATGCTGTGGGAATTAAGGGTGCAGGATATACAACTGAGATAAATTCTACAAGTGGTCAGTAAATGTCTAATGTTGATAAACACGTTAAGAATATTGGGAGTGACCTGGAAAATAAATGAAGAACAGAAGCACTGTGATTACAAGTTCAACAGTACACTGGCCCCCAAATGCTTTTGTTTGCAAATAATTTGTTATTGTTTCATAAAATTTTGTGTTTTTTTGCAAACTCCACCTCTGGTGACAAACATAACCCCAGTGATCTGTACCATACAAACACAAAAATGCCTATGCTTTCCATAATTATAGAACAAATGAGGTTAGTAGACCAACCCTCCACTGTAGTTGCTTCTGAGGAGGAAGACTGGAGGAAGACCCAGAAGACTGGTATGGAATATTGCTCTGTAACTAAAAATTCACTCTTATTTTTATTTTTTTCCCTGTGAAAGGGAGATTTCACAGTAGGATAAACATCCAAACTTTCCCACAGAAGCCAGTTATTTATTTTTATGTTTTGTAATTTTGATTGTTAAAGGATAACCTATCTAGAAAACTTATTCCCTGAGAGTCTAGATAACTAAATTAACAGTATCCAGAATTCCAGACTTCCTATGTATTCATTTATTGATTAAATATTTTGGGAGTGCTGATGACTGAAGGCTTACTTACCTGTCAGCATCATTCTATAGACTAATATTAGTAATGTTTCAGAACAGATTATAAAGTCTCAATGTTGACAACATGAAAATAAAAGTATCATTGTATGGCACTGAGATATACAAGGGAGAAATGCAGAGTAGTCTCTACAAGTCTCAAAAACTTTTAAAATGTATTTCTTCACTTATTACTATCTTCTAAATATCCCCGAGAAATAAAGAAGGCCCACTTTAGCTGAACACTGAAGATGTGCCTGTAAGGCGACACCCATGGTAAAAATAATCACACCTACATACTAATCCTCAGAATCTATAAGCATGTCATAGTACAAGGCAAAAGGTATTTGGAGATATGACTAAATTAAATATCCTCAGATGTGCAGATTATCCTACAGTGTCCTACAGTGAACCTGCTGTAATTACAAAGGTCCATACAAACAAAAAGAGACAGGCAAATGAGAACAGAGATGTGGTCACAGAAGTTAAAGCTGGAGGGACAGGACTGATGGCTAAAGAGAAAGAGCCAAGGCTTGTGGGGCTGTTTTGGAAGCTAAGGAGGAAAAAGCATTCTCACAGAACAATGATGGTAAAACTTTTGGAGCTTTCAATGGTAACCAACAGCCACACATGCCATTGGTTTGCCACCACTGCCCTAGAGCTTCCAGGAGAAACGGTCTGCAAGCACCTCGGTTTTAATTTTGTAAAACACATTTTTTTATTTTAGTTTTTAGAAGAATAAAGGTACTAATCTTCTGTTAAGCTTCATAAAGTGTGTCACAATTTGTTACAGCAGTAAGAAACAACATGCACCTGGCATTGGCTATTTTTGTTGTCTGTTTTACACACTAAGGCGTATGCTGATTTTCCTAGAATATGTGTGTGGAATATATGTGTATTCTTATTTTGTATCAATTTCTACTGGTCTTAGCAAACATAAGATCTGTTAAAAAAAAAAAAAGTTACATTATTGTGTAAATGCAAACATCAGGCTCCACTGCAGCAGGACCTTCTCAACATGCAACCTGTTTGTCACCAGCACCACTCTCTCCAAGAAAACCCACCTCAGCACTGGTGCTGTTGCTCTGGGCAAACACAGAACTTGTAAAAGAAGAGATAATGTGCAGCATGGAATCTCCCAAGTGCCACGATATCTTTATGATAACATTCATACATTTATACCAGAAATACTGAGGAGTTTGACCACCGAGGCACCAGACACTCTGAGGACACTGACTACTGATGTTTGGTCAGACTTTCTCACCTAATGTCCCTTGCCTTATTTCAAGCCCTACAAAAAAGTTTGCTTCTCTTTGTTTCCCATGGATTGTCTCTTTAGCCTCCATCTGCTGCAGCCAAACTTTATACCTCATTGCCTTCACAAAAGTCTGTTGAGTGGTCTCTGTCTTCCATCATTCATTACATCAAGGATCTTTAAACTCTTATTTTGATCTTAGTTCCACAATTAGCAAAGCCAGCCTTAAGAAGCATGATCTTTTTTCTCTCATTAGAGTTGCACAAAAATGTACAGAAGTCTCATCATTTAAAAATAGCATCATTCTGGGCTTGATGTAAATTTAAATTAATTTCTATAATGTTGCCAATGCTGGGTAATTCTTCTGCTTTGTTTTCATTCCAACAAAGTATCTTTCTAAAATTAGGTCGGTAAAACTTAACTGTTTACATTAATTTATAAATAGGGAAATTTTGTGTAGCAATTAAAGGCTTACTCTTTCCTTCCTTATCTCCCTCCATTTCTCTCTCTTTTTTTTTTATTTTATTTAAAGAAAAGGAAACGAAAAAAAAATACATGGAGATTAAAAAAAAGGGTAGAAATAATACAAAATTACAGACAAACAAAAGGTAAGAAATTGCCGGTTGATAAGTTACAAATTGTCATCTTCGAAATAGCTGTTCAGGTTATAGAATTAGAGTATTTAGAATGACATTCAAAAAAGTGACCCTACAAACCATTCTGCTCTATGATCGAACAAAAGCTCCGTAATATGATTATCAGTCCTACACATTTGTTTTACATCTCAAAGAAGGTAAGATTAACCATATCAAAACAGAACAGAACATTTAAAAAAAAATAAAAAACAATTTAAAGAAATACAGATTTCAACGCAAGTCCACTGGAGATCTTCATTATCATTATCTAACTGTCTCTAGCTTCTTACAAATAGTTGTCCCTATCTTCACCCACTTTATATACTTATTGCATATTATAGAACTAATCAAATCATTACAGGATGATGAAGTCTTTTTAGGTCCTCAAGTTCCAAATTAGGGAAGACAATAGCAACTACCATCGCATCTCTCATTCTCTTTGTGATAGCCGTCCCCATCTCTGCATATGCTGAAGTTGAACTGAAGAAACCAGTCCAATGTCATTCTAATCAGCAAACAATAGATTGCTAGAATTTATATTATATTGCTACAAAATAAGCCTCGGGTTTCTCAGTGTCTCTTCCTCAGAGTATTTGTTCCTATCCTCTCTGTATTATAGGGGAAACCAAGTCATAACAAGACAGCAAAACAATTTCCTAGAAAAACATGCAATGGATAAGACATATAAAACTACAATATAAATGATCTTCCGTAGCTACTATGTTTTCTCTTGTTATTTTCAATAGATTTGTCCACAACTTCCCTCTCTCCTTCCTTCTCCTTTTTTTCTTTTTACAAAACTTGTTTTTTAATCTCAAAACCCTATAGCAAGGTGTTAGTGATTCTTGTAAAATGGTTGCTGCTGTTTACTATAGATGGTTGTTTAAAATCATTTTTATTCTTTAGTTTCTAGTACTTATAGATTTCAAAAGTACCATCAGTTTATATTCAAAGATCATGAAAGGCAAGCAGTTTGAAAAAACTCATGCTATGGCTTATAGCTAAGATTTCTTTACACCTAGAATTATGCCATAGAAGACATTTTTCTAATGAATCAATTGAGTACATATTGAGTTACACCATTAGTTTTGCAGAAAGTATAAAATTATCTCTATAATTAGAACATATCAATACAGTATACATTAGGGTTTCTTCACTTTTCATATACAAGCAACAATGGATAGCCAATTTTATTTAATGCTAGAATATTTCAGCAATAATTAGCTCAATGAATTAAAAAATACTTCTGATATTGGTTTCCATTACAAATTTAAAAGGTGTGTTTTATAATACATTAAGTGAAAATAATATATTCTTAAAATTTAAGTACCTAAATATGCAGGACCCTGCCCACTAAAATAGTGTTTACAATGCTTGAATAGTGTCATGGTTTATGTTGGTGGCCCCCAGGCCTCATGCATTTGCATTATGCATTTGTGATTGGTTCATTGTCTAGTGCTTGGATTGATGGTGTCAGTGCTACACCCACATGGGGGTGGAGCCAGGAGTGATGTAATGGCAGGAATAAGGTATGTCTCACTCTCTTGCCGGTTTCTGCCTTGTTTGCAGCCATCATGAACTGAGGCCCAGCCATGCCACCAGGCCTTGGAGCCAACTGAGTATGGACTGAAACCTCCAAAAACTGTAAGAAATAAACCTTTCCTTTCCCAGCTTGGGCTTCAGGTATTTTGTCTCAGCAACAAGTAAAAAGTAACTAAGACAAATAGCAATTCACACATACTTTTAAATGACATTTTTCAAAATAATTATGTGCATATCATAAGTTTCATCTCATTTTAGCAGTTAGTGAGATATCTAATATATAATAGGGAGAAAAATGAGTCCATGAAAACAGAAAAGATAAACCTTATCTCACAAACCCAGTGAGAAACTAATGGAGGGGAAAAAAAGAAGTTAGAGATTATTTCAGTAATAAATCCTAGAGAAGCCATGCAGGTTCTGGGAGAACTATAACAAGAAACCAATTCTCTAAGCCACACAAACCATGCAGGGTCCAGGAAGAGAGACAAGCCAGTTTGTCCTTCCCGTGGGTCAGCAGAAGCCATCTGAGTCTGAAAGGAGTACAAGAAGAAGCCAATTCTCCCTTGCCATGAGCTGTGAAAACCATGCTGGGCCCCGGAAGGGAAACAAACCAGTTTGTCCTTCCCATGAGCCATGCAACAATCATGCTGCACCCAGGAAGAGACAAGCCAATTTGCCCTTCATTTGAGCCAACAAGTACATGGGCTGAGAATCAACCCCAACCCCATAAGCAACCAGCTGGCAGGCTGAGTTGATAGCAACTGAAGTACAAAAACAACTAAATGCTTGTATTGTTTGACTGACTTTGAAGGCCTAAGGCTGGTAGTTTGAGCATCTACTATAAGGATGCAATATAGAAAATATGGAGGATTGCTGTGTTTTTAAATTCAATATTATTCTCACTGTTTTGTTCAGATTTCTTGTGTTGTTTTATTTCACATTCTGTTTGGATTGGTTTTAATCTGTTTTGTTTTATTTGATTTTACTATGTCTAATGGTATGGACAAATATTTTGAAGATAACAAGATATATTACAGTAGCCATTGTTGATTTCCTATTATCCTATTTTGAAGTTTCACTTTCACTGTTTTTGTCTTGACTGGCTTTATGCTGTTTTATACTTTGTTAGATTTTCTTCCCTTTAAAATTAAAAAAAAAATCCCGGTATATGCTATTGACCATATCAAAAGAAAAGGAAGCATTAGACAAGAAAAGAATCTAAGTTGGATTTCAGGTTCAGTAGAAGGCAAAAGTGTTTTCTAAGGTTTATAAATTTCTTTGCTTTGCAGTTATTTTTCTTCTTTTTTAAATAAAAGAAAAAGTAAACTAAGCAATTCTCATTTTGGTATAATGGTATTCTTTTCTAGCCTTCTCTAAGTAAGCGTGGCCCCTTATCTTTTTTTTTTTTTTTTTTTGAAAAGCAGAATATATTTATTGAAACAATGGGGTTCCTGAGAGACTGAAGGGGTCCGAAGTGGGCTGCCAAGTCTTCTTTTCTAGGGACTTTTATAGAACAAAACCACAAGGTAACATTACTCTCTCCAGTAATACTGTTTAAAAAAGTCAAGCAACTAGGGGTGGAGGAAAGATGGTGGATAGATAACAGCTGGCTACAGAGGCTCCCTGAGATAGTCAACTTAGAAATCAACATAATACAGTGTGGGGAGCCCGAACAGAGGTAGATGAATTCTCTCGTCCCAAGAAGAAACTCAGGTGAGAAGACCCAATCAAATATACAGTCCTGGTGCTATTAATGGAACAGCTAAGGGTTTACTGCACCCACCACAGCAAGCGACTTGCCAAGCCATCTGAGGTCCCGCTGCTTAGACTCACTAGAGATGCAGTCACACTAAGGTCAGGAGTCATCGGCCAGCCTAAACCACAGCTAAGATGATGGGAAGCCTACACCGACCTGTGGTGAGTGATGGGAGTGGAGCCATTTCACAGAAAGGGGAACTTCAGTGGATGACATTCTGGGACTGGGCAGGACTGGCAAGTAAAAGGGGCAGCAGCGACTTCAGTCAGCTGTTCCCTTCCCAAACAGGTTTGGTGGAGTGAGCTATGCCTGGGTCATGCGACCTGGCGCACACTAACCACACTAATGGAGTGAAGGCTCAGAAGTCTGACTGATCCAGAGGGGAAACAGCACATAGTAATACAGTGCAGGCTTCAGTAGCTTGACTATTCTGAAGGGGAGGGGCCAGCATATGCTGCCCCTGCCTGCAACTCACTAGCACACTGCAGTGGTGCTTCAAAAGAACTGTAACCAACAAAGAAAGAAACTGGGGCCTCATGGAGGAAACAAAAAAGATGGAAAGAGGAAGCAACAACAAAAAGTCCCCAGGTCCCAACCCTGAGAACACTGACCCAGGACAGGTAAATTCAAAGGAAAATGAGAACAGCAAACATGCAATATCAGACAGCACCAGTGGACACAAAGAGGTATCTTCAGGACCTCATAGATGAGTTCAAAAGTGAAATATTTAGCCAAGTAAAGAAAGATATAAGAAGATTAATAAAAGAGATGTTAAGAACCCCTAGGGCAGACACAGACCGAAGAAGGGAGGAACTCAAACAAAGGAGAGAACCATTTGATGAAGTATATACACAAAATATAGAGTACATGAAGCACATTCAAAGAGATTACCAGGAAATTTAAAACTCTATGGAAAGATGGCAAATCTGCTTGAAAGAAACTAACGATAGATTATCCAAACTGGAGGACAGTTTTGCAATGTGGGATTATGAAAGGAAAAATTTTTTAAAAATAACAAGGAAACAAGCAGTAACAATACAAAGGCTAGAAGATGACAAGAAGATCTACAACTTGAGAATAAAGAACATGAATGAAAAAGCAGGGGTGGGGCTGGGGATTTAGCTCAGCGGCATAAGCACCTGCCTTGCAAGCAGGCAGTCGTGAGTTCGATCCCTGGTACCGATAAAAACGAAAAAGACAAAAAAAAAAAAAAAAAAAAAAAAAAAAAAAAGAAAAAGCAGGGGTACAAACAAAGGAACTACAAAGGCTATTCACAGAAATAATTAAGGAAAACTTCCTAAACATAGGAAAAAGAAATGATATTCTGATGTATGAGGCATACAGAACTCCAGCCACCTATAACCAAAACAGAGCTACACCCAGGCATATAATAATCAAGATCCCAGAAATTCCATATAAGAGCAGAATATTAAAAGCTGTTAGAGACAAGAAACAGATAACCTATAAAGGAAGGCCCATCAGCATCACAGCAGACTTCTCAACACAAACCATCAAGTCAAGAAGAGCCTGGGGTGAAATATTCCAAGCCCTGAAAGAAAATAACCTCCAACCCAGATTGATATATCCTGATAAACAGTCTCTAGAAATTAGAGGAGAAACAAGATGCTTCCAAGACAAAGAGGAACTGGGGGATTTCACAACCACCAATCCAACTCTACAGAGAACACTGAAGGACATTCTAGAGAGAGATTGCAGGGTTCCAAGAATAGTGGCAGAGAGAACTCAATGAAAGGGGTAGACAGTGGAGTGAAGGAAAACAGTAGACAACCAATGGCAGAAAAATGGCATAGGAGAAATGAGGCAGAGAAGGTTGGCTATAATCTCTAACATAGATGGCCTTGAAACACACACACACACACACACACACACACACACACACACACAAAAGAAACACAGGGAGAGTAGATCAGAAAGTAGGGTCCACTGAGATGCTATTTATAGGAAACATAATTAACATGAAAAAAGAGTACATGGACTGAAAATCAACTATAAGAAAACAATGCTCTATGTGACAGAGAACCAGAGAGTAATGTGGACAACTAGACCAGTATTTGTGGATAGGTTGGAAAGACAGGCTTTAATAGGTAAAGGAATACAATTAGAGATCAAGTCCAGGAGAGAGAAGGTTTGGAACCATTTAGGTGAATAGCAGGTGTGCCCCCCCCCCATTTAAAACCAAGGGTCTTGGTCAGACCCAAAAATGCACAGTGTACCCCGGAGGAAGTGAAAGGGGAGGGAAAGTCCTAAAAAAGATGGCAGAAGATATTGTTAATAGTGTATCAGGATTTAAAACCCACATTACTTACACCACTGTGCTTAGACAGATTTTATTCTCTTTTGTGATAGATTTTATTCTGTCCCAGTTTGTCTACTTGCATTAGATTTGAGGGCATACACAGCTATCCCAAAAACATCAGGATATAGCATAGTAATCATCTTTAATTTCCTATTATCTTATTCTGGAGCCCTGTATGACTTATACTGTTTTATCATGACTGATCTTAGTTAAATCTGGTTTGTTTGATTGCTGTTTGGTATCGACAGATTTTATTCAAAACTGAAATGATAGTATCAATTCTGAGAGTATAAGCAACAAGATGACAAGACTCTATAATACACATTCTGGTTTGATAACTGCCTGCTTTTGAAGTTTTAAACTATATACAAAGTTCTATTTTTATTAATACTGTTATGGACTGCTATGTTCTATTATACTATACCTGATGATATAGCCAATTCTATTGAACAAGAGACAACACAGGAAATATGGTAGAACTCCTTGTACAATGGTCTTATATGTCTTTTTCATTCCATATGTTTATAGGAATGTTTTATTTTGTCTTACTTTGTTTTGCTTCTCCCTCTAACATAGAAAGGATAGAAATACATGTTAAGGCTCATGCATGTGTAGAATCTATAAACAGTTTATGAGAACTGATCTTACGACATATGATGAAACGAACAGATACTTTGAAGAAAAAGAGACCCAGTGCTGATCCTGAGGGTCAAAATGTGAAACCCAGCAATAGTACTATTCTTTGTTCAGAGTGTTATTAGACTGCTTGGATTTGTTCAATCTCAACATAATTGAAGATACGGATAACTGCACATATGTTTAAGTATACAGGATTGATAACCATATTTCTAAGTTTTTGATAGATAGTTGAACAGAACTGGTTGCAGTGTCAGTGCATGAATCCACACTTTATATGCTCCACTTTAGTATCTTGAATAACTATTTGTAAGAGGACAATCTGTAATCATCAACTAGTGATTTCTTACTGTTTATTTTTTTCTTTCAAAGAATGTATTAGTTCTACCTGTTTTCTGTTTTGTTTAGTCTTTCTTTAAATAAAAATTTTTAAAAAGACACTACAGTACCCAGTGCTGATCCCAGAGTGTCATGATGTGAAATCCAGCAATAGTATTATTCTTTGTTCAGAATGACTTTAGCCTGATTTAGTTGTTTAATCCCAACATAAATGAAGATATGGATAACTACAGATATTGGGTTTTTGTTTGTTTGTTTTTACCGGTACCAGGGATTGAACTCATGACCGCCTGCTTGCAAAGCAGGTGCTTATGCCGCTGAGCTAAATCCCCAGCCCCTTACTGCATGTATGTTTAAATGTATAGGACTGACAACCATATTACTAACTTTTTGTTGGATAATTGAACAGAACTGTTTGCAGTCTCGCTGTTGGAATTCCCACTTTATATGTTCCACTTTTGTATCTTGAACAACTATTTGTAAAAGGACAGTATGTAAACATTAATTAGTGATTTCTTAGTGTTTATTTTTCTTTGAACATATGTATTGTTTCTACCCATTTTCTGTTTTGTTTTGTCTTTCTTTAAATAAAATTGTTAAAAAATGCAAAAAAGTCAAGCAACTAGTTTAAATGTAACATACACAAGAACAAAATTTTATAAATGTCCCATATTTTAACTCAGATATGTCACCATTTTAACAAAACTACATAAGAGACAAAGCAATTATAAACAGTAGGCAAAGACAAATCACAAGCAATTATAAGCAATGGGCAAAGAAAAAGCAAAATTTGAAGCATAAAAATTTGTTATCTAAACCAGTCTCAGAGCAGAGTCTATGAAATAAAAGCAAATTCTTAGCTCTATCCAATGATCTCAAACTGCAAATGGTATAAGAGAACAAAATTCCCAACCTACTACATATCCAGTGTAAGTTTGTATTCTCTAAAATCGAAGAATGAATTTTAGTTACAACGAACATTAAGAGCAGAATGTATTTACTGAGAAAGAAAGCTTCTGAGAGACAGAAGGGGTCCTTGAGTGGGTTTTCCCTCCTTGTCTTTTTAATGTCTCTTAAGTTTCATGGTCAAACAAGATCCTGAGAAATTTAATATTAGTCATCGGTACTATAACCACATTGTGTGAATTACTACAAACCAAGTTGCATTAAGACTGGTGATATTCATTTTGAATAGTAGCAATGTAAGCTTCTAAGCAGACTTTTAAAAACATTATGACTAACTGTAGCAGAGGCAAAAGTACTACAGTGGTACCTCAGTATTCATTAATTGGTTCTGGAAGGCATAATGAGTAACAAAAACTATGAGTATCAAACAAATTGTTGTGGCTGGAGACAACTGACATCAGTAAGTTATGGCTTCCATATAAAAGTAACAAGCAAGCAACCAGTACTGATGTAACAAAAACATATGAAGTAAGAAATTCAATGAATTTCACAGCAGTCTAGCACTAAGATATGACAGTCCATGATCAGATTAGGTAGATTTCTAGCCTAACACTTGAAACCTTTATCATCTGTGTACGTTTCTAAAATCCACATGAGAACTAATGAAAATAATTTGGGTTGTATATTTTATTTAATACATAATTTCCAACTATCATACAAACCTTGGAGAAGTGTTTTGAAAGGAAGCAGGACTGCTATGTCATATAAACCCTCCACCATTTCCCTGAAACATACATATTCTCCTCAGAAGCCTCCCACATAAGTGTTGAAATATGGGGTAACATTCTAGCTTATAACACTGATGTGGTAAGCAAAACTGATCTTGATTAAAATATAGTGGGAAATGCTTTTATCCTAAGTACTACCGACTATTTTAGCTACACCTAGCTACCCTGTTGCTTTGTGGCAGATATGAGCAATTAAAACATTTCCCAAATCTTTGGCTGATTTCAAGCATTATGGAATAGACTATGATGAATTTTGTACTTGAATCATCTAACTGATAAAGCTGCTAAAAGCAAAATGAAACAAAACACATTCTTACAAGAAAAACATAAAATAAATTTAAATTTTCCAAATTTAGAAACACAAAAATGCTCAGTAGCTTTTTAGCCATTCTGAGTATACTTCAAAGATACTTCAGATCTCCTATTTCTTATACTTCATTGTGATATCAAAAAAACACTGAAATCTACAGTTTTTGTTTGAAGTTTCTGGCAGGTTCATGTAGCCTCAAAATCTAACCTAAACTGACAAGTTATTTATGGTCAATTTACCATCAGTAACCGTTAAACTGGATTGCAACTCAGTTAGCTTGGGAGATAAGTAAAGCACATTTCTTGGTCGGTTTCAGAGGTGTGACCCTGGGACCCCTATATATCCCTGGCTTCTTCCTCTCTGGCACTATTCCCTTGCTCTACCTCCAGGCCACAATTAACTAAGTAGGTTTCTTTTATCAGATCATTCCGCCATTATGTTTCTGAGCTACAGCCTGCCTACCATTAATCTTAAGCTCTGAAACTGTGAGCCAAATATATCACTTTCTTCTTTAAGCAGGGTGTATCAAGTGTTTGGTCCTAGCAACAAATGGCTCACTAATATGGTATGCTATGCCCTATATGGTATGCTATTTATATTTTGCTAAGAAAGTATTGATACACTGGGTTACTGTCTTCCTCTAGACCCCACCGGAGGAAAAGGGTTATTTCATATACTGAATATGATATACACTGTATTATTTTTATGTTCTCCCCCAAAATCTGAATTCTAAAATACATCTGGCCTCAAAGGCTTTGACTAAGATGCTGGGCTTTTAGATTCAAGTTATTTCTTTGCAAATTTGTACAGAATATCTCAACTTCAAGAAGCAACAGAGGATCTGAAGGGATATGGCTGTAGTGTACCTACCTAGTATGTGCAAGAGACTCTTGGTTGGATAGTCAACACACACACACACACACACACCATCAGACAGCTACATCCACTAATAAGCAGTCTACGTGCCATAGTTAACTAGTGTTTTCTCATTCTGATATAAGGTAAGAAGACAGACTGAATCATTTTGTCCTCTCTCAGTAAACCAAGAGCTCCTTTCCCCTTGATCTCAAATAGTGTTTTGAATTGTGTTTGCATTTTTAAAAAACACTTCATGCATCAATAATAAAGTCTATTTTCAAGGCATTCATTTTATCTTCTCCCAAATGTGGTTTCCTATCCTTGAAAGATCTGCTTAAAGGAAAGTAGAGAACCAACCTTCAAGAGCTATTTAAGAAATAGCTCAGAAATAAGGTGTTGCTTTCTGGGCACAAAAGAGAGGCTACTTTGACACTTCCACACTAGTCCACACAGGCTTTCAACTATTAACAAGTGAACTACAGTGTACAAAGAAAATAAAAATGATCATCTGAATTTAGTACTTCCAAGGTAAAAGTATTATTTTTATGACAGTTCAAATTCAGTAACCTTGACAAGCTAAAACAAAATATAACAGTTAAAAAATGTCTTTGAGTAAGTACAAAGTTTCAAAAAGAAGGCAACTCAAAACTTAACTAAAATTTAAAATGTGATACAGAATGTCCTATTTTTCTCACGACAAATCTCTGAATTTCACAGAATTTTATTATAAATAGCCATTAAGATCCCTTACACATTTTAAAAATTATAAATTCCCCATTTTCATTCTATTCTTTTGGTGCTTGATTAGAATATTTGGCATTCTGTTTAGGAGGGTCAGTGTTAATTAGATCACTAAATTTAACTGTTTTCTGTATTTAAAAAAAGGCCTGAGGCCAAAATATAAGAAAAAGCAGTCGGCACAGCAACAGTGCCATCTTTTGATCAAAGCAGGAAATGACTTTTTCCCCTTTCATTAATTCCTCATGGAGATAAACTTCATTTATGTCATCCTTGTAACAATGTTTGGAGTTACAGCCCTTGTCTCAACTATGATTTCTGGTGCTAAAGTAAAGGAATCAGGTATGTCTGTACTCTTGAAAAATTAAAATTATAGCTAAACAATATTATGACAAATATATTTTTTCTTCATCTTTATTAATGTTCTTGTATCAAGGGAAGAGTAAGGTATACTTGGAGTCAAATATGGGCAGAAGGAAGCAATCAAGTGGAAACAGACTTGACTCCTTGAATGCCACAAGATGAGTAAGATTCCCTCCTCATCTTGGAAACTCTGGCAATGTACATTTTTTAAAAACCAACCAAGCGTAATAATGTTAAATATTTGAAAGAACAATAGGAGCTCAATGCTGTAATTAGCTTATTTAAATCATTTAATATTCAATTACTATTTTATACAATTTAATATAAAATTTAATATAGAATTACTATTTTAGAAACCCTCTATGGGACTACATTATAAGGCTACCTGCATGTTACTTCACAAGGTATAACCAGTAAACTAAATTTACAACCAAAGTGAAAAGCCGCACTTCAGGAGAGGGGAATGTAATGGACAGGCACTATATTATTCCATAAGGAAATTCTTGCTGCTTAGAGTAGAATGTTGCTGAATAAATGGGAATGGAGATTTGGCTCACGAATCAAACAATGCCGATTCCTATGTTAACTGAGCAAAGGACATGTGATCAGCCTAATTAACAAAGACACCTTATTTTTATTTGGTGCTTAAAGAACACTCCACACACAGTCTCAATAAAACCTTATGAGGTGAGTGTACAAGGTAAACAGCCCGTCCTGATTTATCAAGTCAAGCATCACAAACTCTACTTGTCTGAAGTTATATGGTTAATTAATGCAGCACAAAGACTACCATCCAATCTCATGCCAGAAGGAGTACAACCTTAACACTGCTATTTACCCTGTAGCAAGCACTACAGCTGCTAAAATAAGTATGGCATCTCGAGCAGGAAGACATAGGATGCCAGTGTACACATTTTCTCACTCCAATTGCTCCAAATAGTCAATGAAGGTAAAAAATAATTATGTACCTTTAAGTATTCTTAACAAAAAAACCTGAGAATTAACAGTTCTTTTATATAGTATGAAACCCCCACCTATACTGTGCTGCTGCACAGCATTTAATAATAAAGTGAATGAAAACAAATGCCTTATGCTGAGAAATGTGTGCCTCTACTGACATTTAAATGGCAGTTTTGAAGAATATTAACAAATTAGAACCAGCAGTTAGAAACTCAAAAGTATTCCTTTACTAAAATTCCAAATAATCTGAAGTAATGATACCTCTTCATAATAACTATATCATTAGCCCAAATAATTGGTAATTCAACCATTTTTAATTATAAAAGGTAGATAAAATATTCATTTTCCTCAGAAGCTTATGAAAAAATATGTACATATCCAGTGTACATTATAATCCAGTGCACACATACTACTGGTCTTCATCTTACCATACTATTTGATTCAGCCTTTCACAAAGTTCTTGAATGGTTATCCTACTTTGTCTTCTGGAAAATGCTCTTTCTTCTTCATCTACGTTTAGCCTTCTTATGTAAGTATTTTTTCTTCCTCTCTCTTCACATATTAGTTCTACCTACAACTTTATCATTTGTTTACCTTTTTGCCCAAAGTCAGGTATGCTACATATGCACTTCATACCATTGTTCAGTTAGTTTTGAGACATAAGTCATTATTCTTACTTTGCAGAAAAGAAAACTAAGAAAAGAAAGTAACTTGTATAGGGTCACGGAGGAGTAGTCCTTCACTAAAATTCCAAATAATCTGAAGTAATGATACCTCTTCATAATAACTATATCATTATATTATCTTCATAATAACTATATCAAACCAGGATTCAAATCTAAGCAATGTGGTTTCACAGCTTCTGCTCTTAACAAACTGGTCTTGACCACCTTCCAACTCCAGGCCCACCCAATCAGCAAATTCTATTAATTATCCATTGACAACATCTTTCATATCTAACCATGTCTGTATTTCTGTCTTATTCACTTAGGTAAGATCTTTGTCATCTACTACTTATATTTCAACTGATTCTCTCACTAATGGATTTTTTTTTGTTGTTTATTACAACATGTAGCAGATATTTCTAGTCTTCAGCATCTGTTTTTCTTCCTGTAGTAATGGAATTTTTAATTGGGCATGCTAAGGCCAATTTCCTAAACTGCCTTCAATGAAGACAGGCATATGATTTAGCTGACCCATGAGATATAAGTGGAAGTCTCACAAGATATACTTTTTTATTCCTTCCTACTAGCTGCAATGTGGATTAAACCCTGTGTGGACTGTGACTCTGATGATTATAAAGTTCCACAATCTTCTGACTGCCAGGGCAACCCTGGGAAGCAGAGTTACACTTTATCAAGTCACTATTATTTTGAGCCTCCTTTGTTGTTGTTGTTGTTGTATTAGAAGTAAAATCACTAATACTGGTACCACATGTGGAGTTGTTTAAACAGTATCTATAATGTAGACCTGGCTTAGCTGGCAGGTAATAAGGTGCAAGATCTCAAACACTAACGGTTAGAAAGCCAGTGTAATAGCTGAAAGGATCTTGCCCCAGTTGGGACACAGTAGCCCATGGGAAGCTGGAAGGCAGAACCAAGGGGCTCTATCTTGAGGTCACTTTTCCCGCCCCTAGGCAATTTACCTGTGATGGGAAATAAATACCAATGGGCTACCTGTGCATCACTAATGCTCCTTAGGCACCACCTCAACCCTAAGCTACATGTATGCCCCACACCACGAGTCTAGCGGAGAGAATGCCAGATCCCGGAGGTCATGAGGTCTCTCCCCACATTCTTAAAATAAAGGCCACTTTTATTTCCTATTTCTTATGTTTTTAGCCACGCCAAAAATTCCATCAGATGGTTCCCTTCTGTGCCGAAAATACTATCAATAGCTTAATTTTATGTTCAACAATGGAGCCCAGATATGTGGTCATATATTATTCGGAGTGTATCTGTGAGGATATTTTGGGATGAGATTAACATTTGCATTAACAGACCAGATGAAACAGATTGTATTTCACAATGGGTAGGCGTCCTCTAATCAGATAAGACTGAATACAACAAAATACCACTGGAAGTGGAATTCTCCAGCACATGGCCTTCCCACCTGACCTGCAACAAGGGCTCTTCCCTAGACCTCTAGTCTGCTGGCTCACCCTACAAATTTTGGACTGTGCCTCCAAAACTGCCTAAGCCAATTCATAAAACATGAATCATATACCCTCCCCCAATACTGATACATAGTTTCTCTGGTGAACTTGATAAATCCAAAAACCTTTATGATTCCATAGCAAAATGTTTACTAAAATCACTGTTTATGGTATCTTGGAAGACACACTTCATGCTAACAATATTTATATAGCTCTAAGAGTCGCTAGAATATTTTAAAACATTAGTACTTGTTAATGACAGAACGCTTAGCAAAAATCTGGGGAATTTGGAAGCAGAGATGCAAAACAGCTCTGCTAAAAGACTCTGCTTATGGATTACATAAAACTGCTTTTTTCTTTTTTTTTACTATTTTATTTTTTGGTACCAGGAACCAACCTCAGGGCCTTGCGCTTGCCAGGCAGGCACTGCGCTGCTGAGCTACATCCCCAGCCCCTGATTACATAAAACTTAAGCCAACTGAGAATTTAGGCTTTGAGTCTTGTTGGAATGAAGACCCCATGCTCCAAAGTGAAGTAGTGTTAAAAAGGCATCTCAGAAGAGGCAACTCCTAAAAATGGATAATACAATGGCCTCAAGCCTTACAAATGCAGACTGAGTGCATGCTTTTGTTCAGTAAATGGAAGTCAGTCCAATAGCAAAGATGTTGTTCTCATATTCCATCCATTAAAAAACCAGAACACTTCTAATCAAGGCAATAAAGATCAACTCCAAAAACACTGTGCTAAGAGAAAAAGTTCAGATAAAATCTTACTTGTTTAATCACAGCTTCAAGAATTTTAAGAACAGGCAAAAGTATGGCAAATCAGAACAAAGGGTGCATTTAAAGAGAAGTGTGATTGGATTTGTGAAGGAGCATTAGAAGTCTTTGATAGGGTTAACAGAGCTGTCTATGTAACTATCAAAAGCCCTGGAAAGGTACACACAAAGCTCAGTGGGCACACATCATGCTCAGTGGGCACACACACACACAGGGGCCTTGGCTCACCTGGTAGGTAGAGGGCAGCTGTGTCCACACTTCCTTTAGGAAACACACAATCTTCATTTAGCTTTTCCAAATTCTAAACCAGGTTCCTGTTCGTCTAGCAAGCCAAAGCTGTTTTGCAGACTCCCTCACATCAGCAAAGCTGCTCAGAGTGGGCAGAGATGCATACAGAATTCTAGTGACTGATGTGCTTCTAGTCTGTTCTTGTGGGTTCTCCCTGACCTCAAGAGCTGACTTCTGGTCTTGCTCACATCAAGCTCAGCAACAGCACAATGACACAGACTTCTATAAATTATGTAACCAGCACCAATAAATGAACAATATCTAATTTCTTGTAAGTCCCTTACAATATTTGAGGGAGTTCTTCTCTGACCAAACTATAGTACAGTATTACCTCTGCTCCTGTGGGTGTGGTATAATTAACTACCAAGTTAAAGAAAAATTCATTCTTTGCCTCTTCTTTCTAGAAACTATGCAAGTTCTAATGCTAGCATAAATTATATTTCACAAAAATAACGATGTTTCTTCCTGGCTAGGTAAACTTTTATTCAACCTTTAAATGTCACTTCAAAGCGTACAGGGTAACAAACTTTCATCCCTTCCTGTGGAATTTCTCCCTAATTGTTTTTCCAAGCAAAAACTTTTCAGCTCCTAAACAATAAGGGCTATGTTATAATCATTCTGTAGTTTTATAAGTAACATACCTGGAAAGTATGTTCTTAAATTTCATTTATTAAATGACTAAAGGATGTTATCTCACTTATTAAGCAGCTCAGGAAGAGAACTTTTCATCATAAAATAAGAAATATTTAACTGCAATTAATGTACCAAATTTCTGAGTAAGGAACAGCTCAAGTAACTTCCAACGTTTATGTTATAGAACAGATGGAAATGATATATGCCAGAAGCTTTATTTGGAAGAAAAGAATAAAAGTTTTTGCTTACAAATCATTTATAAAAATGAAAAAGGACTTTCTTCAACCAAACATAAATTGTAGACAATAAGCCTGTAAAGAAAGTAAAAAATCTGCTAATATAAGTAACTGTCTCATTTCTAAATGAAGGGCTGTAGTTGGTAACTTTTAATAAGTAAAGGATTGTACAGAAAACCTTGACTACTACTTTAAAATGTAGTTCTAAAGCATGCCATTCAGATGTTTTAAAATCCCTGTTATCTCTGACACTGCCTTTCTATTATCAAAGGGAAACAACAGAAGATGTTAATGAGTAAGATCAGAGAACACAGTAGGCTGTTCTTAGTCTGATTAAAAAAAAAACATTAAAATGTTTTACATTCTAAAGTTTTAAAAAGCTAACAGTTTAATCCGCTATAACCAAAACATATTTTAATTATAATTTACCTAGTTGTAAAAGCAAATCTTTGAGTTCCATAAATCTTTATCTCTCATTTGTTTGTTTGTTTGTTGCTTTTCCTCAACCCTTAACGTCAACTCTTCTATATTTCATTCCTTTTCTTCTCCTCAGCATTTCGGGATACACCTTTCATTTATTTTTGTTATCCATTCCATATCTTTTTCACGTTTCTGCTACCTTCTGGTATTCCTCTACAATTTTTCTGTTTTTGTTCCTTTTCAGTAGTTCCCATTTTGTTTATTTTTCCATTGCCTGTGTCTCATCATTTCACTCTGGTCATACCAGTTTATATTTCTGCTGGCAAACAGCAGTCTGGGCAAGAAAGCCAATAAAAAATTCCCACCGCTACCGTGTACTATGACCATAGAAACATTAAGGTGAAAAGTTGAAGTTCATTGACAATCTATCAAATAAATGCAGATTTAAAATTAAGTTTCAGGTACTATAAATATCTAAAATACAGATATTTCCTAGTTGATAGCTACCCAGTGCTATTATCAGTTTTAAAAGTATTGTTTTACAAGCCTTGAGGGTACCCATCACTGTGTTCACAGTAAGTAATCAAATTTCTAGATATCAAACTGTTTATTATCAAAGAAGTTCCATAAATTTAAGATTAAGAAACCTGACCAAGCTAGCTATTTTCAAAGATACCATACCCAGCAGCTATTCTTTTGTCAGCCTAAGAAACAAAAACCATGCTGATACTTATCTTTTCTCTCCTGGAAGTTAAGTTTTACTTTGAAGAAGGAATTTTTTACATAGTACTGGAACACAGTAATGACATTAACTATTCCTGAAATAGATTATAAATGCAAGTTTTAACATATTTATTATCGGTTTACACTTGGAGATCTCAAGTGTAATACATCTTCTCAACAGTTAATTACTTTCTTAATATAGGTATGGAGAAGGAGTCAGAATTAAAAGATCTCTGCTGAAACTAAATGTGAAGAATATAGCTCTGTTGTTTAAATTAGCAAACAGTGCCAAGAGACCACGTTAGGCCTACCTAATTTCAATGTATAGTTTTTTATTTACCATGAAATATAGTTTCTTCACTTATTTAAAAAAAAAAGAAGAAGAAGAAAAGAAAGAAAATAGAAAGTCTTCAAGAAAACTACCACAACTGACCTGATTTTGCCTGGTAAATGTCATTATGAACAGAGAATTGCTTATGATTTACATTATTTAAAAATGTTTTTCCAAACATTTTTTTAAAGTAACAAGAAACTCTTCAAATGAAATCCTCTGCATTTAACCAGATAACTATACCATTTCTCTAGCTGGAGCTGGTATGGTAGACTAAGGAGTTCTTCTGATCATCCATACCTGTTCACTCCAGATGGTCCCTAAAACACTGCTACAGTTCGTGCAGCACAGTTTAAAAACACTAAATAATTCTTCCTAAAGAAAGAAGTCATTTGACTTCTATAGTGGCCAGATTGTTAGAAAATTTGTAAAGTTTGGAAAGGCATACTAGTGACTCCGCAGGTTAACAGCATGGTAAGTACAGATACCTGCAGTGAGTAGCAGAATGAAGTCAAGCGCCAGGTAAACCCTCTAGTGGAGGAAGAGTCACTGAGACTCCTGATGGATAAGCCAGACTAATCTTGCTCTTTCAGCCTCAGTTCAAATACTCTGGGTCATAAAAATAATTGGTCCCAGCAGAAAGAAGATTCAGAGGAGGAAAACAATGCAAAGCACAAAGCAAGAATTAACAATGCTCAAATGACCAAAATTTTTTTTCAAAAGAAAAAACATCTAGGTCATCCTCTACCTACTTAATGGTTACCACTTAGAAAAATTGTCCAGAATTTTAAAATCGATGAATACATATGCTTCTATGTTGCTAATATTTATGCTTATTTGTTCAATTTCATTTTGATACCCATTTAAGGATTGCCAAGTTATTAACAAAAAATAATTTATAATCTTGCTAACATCAAAGGTATCTTACAAACTGTATAAGATAAACTGAGGTAAATTAATGAAGTGCTTAAAGTATCATCTTAATGTGATGGTCTCTGTGTTCTAACTTTAACCCTATTGGAAGCCATCACTCATGGGAAAAATTCATAACTTCCTAATCAACTGTCTTCTGTGTTTACTCTCATGTATCAACCTTTTTTGTCAAATAAAACAATCATTTTAAAATGAATGTAATTATGTTGTTGCATTATTAAAAGTATCTCAGTAGTTCCTTACTGTATATATGCATTATTTCAAGATATGGAATAAGCTATTCAAGTTAAACATTAGTCAAAGGCACAATAAAAAAAAATAGATGGCTGGGATATAACTTAGGGGTAAGGAACTTTCCTAGCACAAGGTCCTATGTTCCATCCCAGAGCTGATTAAAAAACAAACAAACAACCAGCAGCAGCAGCAGCAGCAGCAGCAGCAGCAGCAGCTGTCTAACCCAAGCATAAATATAGATACTTTTCAGGTTTCTGGACAGAATATGAAAGCCATTGAAAAAATCCATATGTTTCTAAAACAACATGATCTTAAAATATGTAAGGCAAAATTTACAGAGTTACTCCTTACTCTGAAGATTTCAGATCATATTTTGAAAATTTTAACACAGTTTTTTCAATAACTGATCTGAGAATCAGTTAAAAAAAGTAATACTACAATAAAATTTCAAAAAGTTATACTACAGAAGCTCAAACAGTAAAGTTAACAAATGATAGTGAATGAATATATATAGAATACTAAAATGATAATTGTAAAATTCACATTCTTCTCAAGTATATGTGAAATATTTTTATAAGCTTCAACATGAGGATATAAAGAAAGTAAAATTTCCAAAGGGATGATTAACATAGTATATATTCCTTGATCAAAAGAAAAATAGTAAAACCAGAAAACACATATATGTTTGGAAATAGAAAATAAACACATAATAAAAGGATCAATAAAACTAAATTCTGGATCTTGAAAAGATAATTTGACAAATCTCAGTCAAGACTAATTATTAATAACAATAAAAAAGTTTGAATTACATGTAATAAAATCCTATAGATTAAAAACTGAAGAAGAAAATTCATGCAAATTTTTACCCTTGGACCCCATTTTTAATCTGACCAACCTTAGGTGTCCTCTTTATACCTCCTCTGTGCCCTAAGAACTCCCCCCAGTAATAGTTTTTACATTTAATAATCAGTTAGCTGAAGACCTTGAGAATCAGGATCATTTACTATATATTTTAGTCTCTGCAGTTCTTAGCAAACTTCCCATATAAGGTGGATCTTAACAAATGTTGGATAAATTAATAAATGCTGATAAATTCTTGTGATTGAGATCATATTTCACATTGTCCATCTACATACTTGAAACACTTTTATGAATGAAAATACAATAACTATAAATTATAACATTGGATATTTCTTGAATAACTTATAATCAGTGAATGCTTTTAAAAATAAATGTGTAGGGCCAGGGATATAGCTCTGTGTTATAGCATGTGTTAACATGCAAGAATCCCTTAGTTCAAACCAAAGCACCATGTCTCACCAAAAGAATTGTTTGCTCAAATAAATTATGTATTTTATATCTCAGAACCTCTGCTTACTGCTGCCCAGCTTAATGAGAGAAAGAAGAAAGGAAAGTAGGAAGGAAGAGAGAGAAGGAAAGAAGAAAGAAAAATAGTATTAGTATCAGTTGTAGTAATTATAGTACAACTGTTTTCTATATTCTGAACATATTACACATATGATAATATGCAAAGTTAACTAAATTATTTTAACTTTATAAGGAGTATATATAGAAAACTGAAATAGTGGTTGAAGTCTTCCATTCTGATAGAACCATGTAGCCAAAGATTAGTTTTCCAATATAAACACATCAACTTTTTAGTCACTATATTGATAAATGATAAAGACTATACTCATCAATCACTAGATATTCCTCATTTCAGATCAAGAATATCAGTGAATAGGTGTTAGAGATCTTTTCCAATATTTCTTTTAAAACACAATTCTTTTTTTATTTTAGAGAGATTAAGACAAAAGAGGACAGAACAAAGCAGGTCAGAACAGAACAATGTAAGCAATACAGTACTTCACCAAAACACCATTCTTGCTGTCAAGCAGTACCAGTTTTTAAGGATTGTTATCTGAATAATTTGTATAAATTTTCAGACATTACCCAATAGTCTAACCATCCATTTTTACCAAGTTCAAATACTGGATTTTCCTTGTAAAGTAGTAAAAAAGAATACCAGAAGGTATTAGTATGTTATAGTGATTGATTTTCTTGCAGGAAATGGAATGCATGATACATTATTACAATAAGATCTCTACATTTTTGTTATAAATCATACTCCTCAGTTAGCATTTTACCAACCAAGAATCATATAAATTTCTCTTGCATAAATACCATAGTCACCTTCTAAAAGACGACATACATAGCATTTCACAATACTTTTCCACTGTATTTTTTGTACACATAAACAGATAAGAAATGAATTTTGATGATTATAGTATAATGTCAGAAATGACTGACTTTAAAATTCTTTAGAGAAGTGATAATAAAGGTATACTTTTTCGTTTTTTGTTTTTTAAGACAGGATCTCACTGTGTACTTCAGACTGGCCTTGAACTCACAGTAATCCTCCTGCCTTAGCTTCCTCAAGACATGGATTACAGATATGAGCCACCAAATCCAGATTAAACTGCATTCTGTGAATAAAACTGGCTTTTGTTCAATTACTGCTTTCCTTTTGTTCTTTGAAAATAGTTTTAGGGATATTTGAGAAAATTTTTTGTAATTTATATTTTCCTGTTTTACAAATTCAATAGAAGAGTAATTTTGTCATCGTTTAGTAAGTGTAAAATGAACTTGCATGCTTTCAGGGCCTTTCTCCTATCATTATAGTACATTTTATGCTTTTAACTTTACAAGCTTAAAAAAAAGGTTATTATTTTCATGAGTACATATAATTATACATATACATTAATTTTTGAAAGAAATTTAAAAACAATATTATATATCTCTGAATACTCTTATTAAAATATTAACATCAAACATTCCTTTAAGTGAAATATCAGTTTTCATTTATGAAAATGTGTAAGACTAACATTTAGTTGTAAAATACTGTCATTTCAAAAGCCCAAGTTCTAAACACTATGAACACCACCTATATAATATAAATACAAATAATTCATGCTTAAGGTAAATACAGTTACAAAGGATAGAAAGTACATTTGAGTATATATGTCAACAGATAAATGCAGATATAAATTTAGTTTTTGTGATAGCTGATTGTATCAGTTTGAATAAGAAACCTACAACTAAACCAGGCCTGGTGGTGCACGTCTGTAACCCTAGCACTCAGAGGCTGAAGCAGGAAGATTGGCATGAATTCAAGGCCAGCTGGGATACACAGTGAGTTCAAAATTACCCAGAACTGCATAGCAAAACCCTGTGTAAAAAAAAAAAAAAAAAAAAAAAAAAAAAAAAAAAAACAACAAACAAAGAAATGCCTAACTAAATTGGCGGGGCTCCAGTCTTCCCCTTTACCTCAGACACTGTTTCCTGGCTTCCAGGGTAGACATTTTGGCATCCAGTTCAAACCTCCAGCCTTCATCACAGACCTCTTGGCCTCCTGATACGGACCAGCATAGGTCACTACAGTGGACTTCAGGTTTTTCACTGGATCCTTTAGATCTGCAGCATGCAGATAGCCCTTTTACATCCTTCTACACTTGAGTGTGTGATGGCCACTGTAAGCCAATCTTATAAATTCTTATTTATTTATACATCTTGCATTAAATCAATTTCTCTAGTAAGCACTGATTTATTTTTATTTTAAAGAGAACAAAGTGAAACAAGACAATACAATAAGACCTTGGATTTCAAAAACAAGACAGTAGGAAATCAACCATAGTTACTGCATTGCACATTGTTATCTTCCAAATAGTTGCTCAGAATATTAGATACAGGCATGCTAAGTTTATCAAACAATATAAGCCCTCAATTGTTTCTTTACTTCCTGGGGGTATCATTTCAGAAACTTCAGTGTGTATTTTCTAATTTATTCCATGTATGTGTCTCTTGAACTTGTTCTAGGTGAGACATAGGCATGCAAAATTAATCAAACAATTTAAGTACTGAGTTGTTTCTTTTTAGTTGCTATCACTTCAGAAATCTCAAGGGTGTGACTCTCAATACCTTTTGTGTCTGCATCTCCTGGATGTGTTTTGGGTGCAGTTCACTGAGGGTGTGGCTCTTCTCTTTGGGTCTGCAGTGGCTGCCTCACTGGGAGGTGTGGCTTCTTCTCTAGGTCTGGTGCCTGGTTCAGTAGGGAGCGTGGTTTCTCCTTGGACCCTTGGCAGTGAGCCTGATTTTCTTTTTTTTTTTTTTTTTTTTGTCTTTTTCATTTTTATCGGTACCGGGGATCGAACTCACGACCACCTGCTTGCAAGGCAGGTGCTTATGCCGCTGAGCTAAACCCCCAGCCCCGAGCCTGATTTTCTTATTTTTGCTAGATTTCTGGATTCTCTCCCTCCATGGACTTCAAGTTTCACTTCAGATCTTTCCTGGGTCCACGGGACTTACCTCCCTCCTTTTTCACTTCCTTATGTTACTATATTCCAATACCTGGACACCAAATCTTGGAGAGGCTCTTGCTCTGTTGTTCACCACTCTGTCATATTCCCAAAAGTTCCCTAGTAAGCACTGAATGATACAGATTTTGGTACCACAAGTGACTCTAGAAAACAGAACTGTAAAGATGAAATCCTTTAATGGCTTTAGGGCTTCCTAGAGTTGACATTCTAATTTGAGGACACTAAAAACTCTATGGTGTCTCCTTCTAGTACAGTGAGGAATATTGATAGTGTGAACTCTTTAAAGTAATATGCAATGTGGATCCACTTTATCCTATTTCACCATTTGTGAAATATAAGGAATTTAGCAACTCTATACGATATTTCTGAAAAATTTTGGCATAATGGGAAATATACTTGCTGGAAAACTACTGAAGAAAAACGATGAGTTCAAAATGTTTATAGGAAATCTAATGTTTTCTAACTGTGAGAAGAAATTAATAAAGGAAAATTAGGAGCTCAAAGATGCAAACTCTTAGCTCCAGACACACAGAAAAAATTTTAAAACTTCCTAAGCATGTCCTGAAAAAGAATCTAGCCTCCTTTTACCAAGACTGTAGAATTCAGCTGGCTGAAATGCACCATATAAGGAAGGCTATCTGAAGTAAAGGTGAAGGCTCTGATTGAAAAAGAGAATGGGGTCTCATAAACTGAGGTGGTGACATCTAGATAAAAGTGAGGGTATGAGTGTCTAGACTCCAATGAAAATAGTCAGCCAGAGGGAGAGATTTCCTGACTCATAGTGGTGAGGCATCCTCACCCTCTGTGGGGTTGGACTCTCCTAGTATATCTCAGGAAACTAATTCTGTGTTGATCAAGCATAATACTGGCAATCCTCAGGATTCATCCTCATCACCCATTTTGGTCTGTGGGGTTATAAGCCATTTCAAATCACAGAAGGTGCCTGTTATGGCTTGTGTCTAGATATTCCCCTAAAGTTTCATGCAATCTTAAATAGGATAGGCTTTTTAGAGGTTTCTCTACAAGTACTAACTAGGCCCAACCCTAGTTAACTTCTGATATCAGATGAGATCAGGAGCATTCAGGATGGTATGGCTGTAGAGCAGTGCCTAAATCTACAGCACGTGATGCTGGAATTAAGGGTGTGTGATTAGTAAATCAGTCCACTGACTGGTTTGGCATCTCTATGGGTAGGAGTAAGGGTTCCAGTGCTACATTTGCCCTGGTATGTAGCCTGCACACAATACAAGGGACAGAAAGAGTCTTATCTTTCCTGTCTGGTTCCTTTTGCTGTTTTCCAGGACCATGAACAATTTCCCCCTCAATGTGCCACGGGCCTTGGAACTAGGTGATTATGGATTGAAATCTCTACAAACTATGAGTTAAATAAACCTTTCCCCCTTTTACTTTGAGTGGTGGGTATTTGCCTCAGCAGTGAAACAAATGTAACTAAGACAATGCCTAAGGGTGAGGTACACATTCCCCCATGAAAAGTTCTAATTTCCTGAGTTTTCTAACTCTTAAAGCGGAAGCCTGATGAGCAAATGCAGGAATGGATTTTATAGGTATGGGATGATGGTAGCAAAAATATACACCTGGATCAGGCTATACTTGTTGATACGGGCACACAAAGCATAGATGTTGAATTTAATGTTGTAGGTCCTGGATGATTAAAAAACAGTGTTAATCGTTTATATACCTGGTTGGCAGGATTATGAATTAAAAGACGGCCCATTGTGAATGAGTCAGAGATGCCTAATATTTCATGATTTACTGTTGATGAGGGGTTTCAGAGGCTTAGGGAAATGGAAATACTGGAGTGGATTGTTAACTTAAAACCTAGTCTACCACACTGGAATGACCCAGAAAAATCCTTGATGAGCCCTGTCACTGCTCTTCTCTGTATGCCAGATCTTACAGTGGGGACTGCAGTTATGCAACAGAAACTACAACAACCCGTTCCAGGCAGAATGACAAATGACCTACAGCCTTCAAGAATAAAGGCATGGGTCACTCTCACCTGGGAAAGAACCAAGACCTGTGAGATGCTTGCTGAAGGCCAAGGGAATACATATTGGGTAGAAAGAAGAAGGTAGTTCTAAATACCAGCTATGATTCCATAATCAGCAACAGAAATAAGAACTATAATTGTTCACTCCTAGTATGCTTCCAATGTAATATAATGCTGATAGTTATAATGTTGGTTAAGTGTTGTTTAACCTGTATAGGACCTACAAGTTTTGAAATATTAGCAGTAAGCATCACACAAAGAAAAACTGTCTTCTATTCAAGGAAGGGAGTTAGTGTGTGTCTATTTGTACTCAGGAGACTTACAACTTGTTAGGTATGATTATGAGCTTGCCTTTTTATCTGGAAACATGATTTAAAGAAATGTGTCTGATTGTCAAGTTGACAAGGGATGTATTGTGATAGCCCAACTAAATTGGATCAGCATAGTTCTGTGTGTAGAAGATGTATGCTCAGGAGGATTGTTGCCAGCATGGCATAAAAGGGAAATAAGAAGGAAGGCTAGCTTCTATTTCTCTGGAGGAGCTCCAGTCTTTACCATCCCTTTAGAGGTCCTTTCCCAGCTTCCAGGGCAGACTCTTCAGCCTCCAGCACAGGTCCTTCAGTCTCCTAAGCAGACTGATACTCCTGATACAGAATCACAGGATACTATAGTAAGCTCGAGGTCTTTGACTGGATCCTACGGACCTCCAGTGTGCAGACAGACATTTTTCACTCTTCTACATCTGACTCTACAGGCAGCCACTGAAAGCCAATCTTGTGAATTCTTATATATTTGTATATATCACATTAAATCAGTTTCTTTAATAAGCATTAACCAATACAATGTTCAATAACACACTGCAGCCAAAAGACGTGATTTATCTGCTTTTTTCTTTCTTTTTTTTATTGGTACCGGGGATCGAACTCACAACTGCCTGCTTGCAAGGCAGGTGCTTATGCCGCTGAGCTAAATCCCCAGCCCTTATCTGCTTTTCTACCACCCTTTCCAGGCCTTTTCTCTCTTTTGAATATCATCCTTTGTCCACAATATAAAGCCAGTCACTACTTGCTTGCTTGTTTTTTTCTAACTACTTTTTGTAAATACAAGGATCTTAAATTTAACTTTTACAGTCTGACTAAAACTCATCCACATCAGTTTACTCTCTCGTAGATTTTTATTTAAGTCCTTTTATCTGGTATTATAAATAAAAAGATTGCCTTTTGTTAAGGGACTAAGAGGTGGCATTTGAATCCTTTTATCTCTGTAAATTACAGAATTAAAAGATTATCTTTTCTTAAAGAAATAAGAGGTGAGAAGGTCTGGAAGGCACGCAAGAGAAATTTCTGTGTAAACAATAACAGTGATTAACAGAATTATCTCTAATGAAAAAAATATTGTTATTTTTTCATTTTTTGAAGTCAAGGCCAATAAGTAAGATTATCTGCTATTATCAGTTTTTCCTTTATTGCTTTTAACTCCAAGACATGTAGATATTGGGAAATCAGATCATTTCCTGGGTCTATAGATTGGGTATCCCTTTCTCTTGTACTTATCATCATAATGACATAGCTAAAAGACCCCAAGTATTAGCTACTTCAGATAAGTCCTACATCTCCCATATAGACCAAACAGTGGGTACAAGGGTTGTATAGGAGCTGCTCAAGGACAAAAAATGGATGACAGCTGGTGCGATCGTCTTTCCCAATCACGAATGATTTCATGAAAACCTACACTCGTGATTGTGAAGTCAGTTTTGTGACCTACCAATTTGTCCTAAAGTGCTGTGACATTGCTTCTGAGGAATACGAAGATGGGCAAATGGAATAACTACTATGGAAGGGCTTTATTTGTTATGCTGTAAGTTTATGTATGTGTATGATCTCTATGGCGATGACTGATTTTAAGGGAATGTGGAATGTTAAGGGAAATTTATTAAAAGAAGAGAAAGAAAACAGTTAAAACCCAAACCAGGCTTTGGCCTAAATCATATAAAGCAATTGCAATCAAAATAAATTAAGTGAATTGCTTTACATTTAACCCTAATTACTCTGCAGCACAATAATGATACCTCTTATTTTTTGTTAATTTTGCTATAAATTACAGCTTTGAATTATAAATAATCAGCCCTTGCAATTTATTGCTTTTAAAGTACTATTTACTGAGTATTTCGCATATGCTAGACACCAAATTATATATTGGGAATAAAAACAATAAAGCAAGCCCAGACCCCATAGGATTTAAAATCTTACAAAAAGGGAGATCTATACAGCAAATGTCTAGTGGAGAATTCATCCTGTATCATACCCTCCCTCTCTCCATGTATGTATGTATGTATATGGCAAAGACATCAATCCCAGTCCTAGAGAGTCAAGAGTCAAGTTAAGGCTTCAAAATAAGATGTCAGAAGTGCTTCCTGAAAAAATCAACTGAGTTAGTAAGGAGAAGTGAAAGATAAATAAGAACTCTACAATGAAAGGAACAGGAATGCACCAGTCTCAAAGCCTGATGATTTACAGAGATTTGTTCAGGTGAAATATAGTGCAGTAAGTGTCCTGAGATAATGAGGTTAATGAAGTAAGAATGGCTTATATCAAAAATTCCTGGATATTATACTAAAGAGCTGGAAATATCTAATACCACAAAAATGAAACCAAGAGTTTCAAATCTTGCTATTAACTGGGGATCACTGCATGAGTCTCAGAAAAATGACAGGATCAAATTTAAATTCAAACATATCACTTTAGCTTCTCCTTACAGAAGGGAGAAGTAGAACTCACAACATCTCATAATGGGAGACATATTAGTTGGGAGTCAGCTGAAATCAAGTGATAGATGCCAGTGATTCAGGTCTGAAAGATGGAGAGAATTGGACAGACTTCAAAGATATGTAACAGATACAGCTGAGATGTCTTACTGATTGACTGGATGTAGAAGAGAGGACGTGGCTTTCACACACATAGCCAAATGCTTGGTGGTATAGCATTTATCTTAAGAGAATAGGCCAATCGGGGGGTCCAATTTTGATTTTTTTGTTCTGTTGATGGCAGGGAGGGGGGACTAGAAGAACATTAGAAATTATGAGTTCAATCTTAATATGGAAGAGCTCCAGTATGTAATTATATATAGGTCTGAGGCTAAGGAGAAAGATAGAAGCTTAGACACATATTTGAGATACAGCATTTCACTTAAGTTGAAAGTATAATGGGAAAGAAAATCAATATAATTACAAGTTAAAAAAATAAAAATTAAATAGAGCACAGCGAACTGATACTTTTTGAATATTTCACAGAAGGTACAGAAATAAAATGAGGTCTATTTAGAAAAGACTAAAAATTTTTAAGTAAAACAGTACAAGTTCCAAAACAGCATACACATACTGACACAGTTATTTTTAAATGTACTTTTCTATGTGTATTTACCCGTGAGAAAAGCTACAGAAAAAGTTTATGACTATAAACCAAATTTAAGTCTAACAGTTGTATAATGAAAAGAGTATATGGGTAAGGGAGTTTGCTTTATATGAATTACTTAACGTTTTTTATAAGATCAATGTTTTCATATATTATTTATATTCTTTATTTATTTTTGCTACCAGAGATTGAACTCAGACCTCACACCTGCCAGGCAGACACTTGTGCCACTGAGCTAAATCCACAGCCTTTTATTTATATACTTTAAAATACATTTCCAAGCTTATCAAATGCAAACCAGGCATACTTATTCATCTTCAATCTCAGAACTCAGGAAGCTGAGTTCAAGGCCAGCCTGGGGTACCCAGGAGAGACCCTGTTACAACACTCACCCCCATGAGTAATAACTTCTCACGCAATTTTAAAAATGTCAAGTAAAAAAACATTAAGTAAAATTAAGATAGAAAAATATGTCTTCATAATTAGTAACTTTAATAAGATTCAAAAAGAAATTGCAAGGCTTGAGACAAAATGGAAAAAGAAACAGGACATGAAACATAAAATACAAAAAAGTTATCATGAACAAGAAGACAAAGAAGTCAAGGGAGATTTTTATCAGAGAGAGGAGAAAAATAATATTCTCAAAAAGCCTCCAGTTTATTAAAAAATATTGCAAGTCACCAGACATGGAGGTACATGCCTGTAATCCTAGTACTCAAGAGGCTGAAGCAGGAAGATAGTTCTAAGTTTGAGGCCAGCTTTCATTATACAGTGAGCTCAAGGGAACCTGAACTATGTAGCAAGACTCTTTCAAAAAACAAAACAAAAATGACATTATCATAATACTATTAAGCCATCATAGTAGTATCTGTTATAAGATATAACAATGGGAATGCTCCAAGTAGCAGGAATAATTAATTGAGAAGCCAAACTATAAAAGTGAGAAAAGAAATTTAGAGAGAGATGTAAGTAACACCTTAAAGTTGGTAATAAGAAGTAAAAGGAAAACAAATACAGAGTTTTCAAATGTCTTGGATTTCTAGAATATGAAAAGCAGACATCTGATGGAATATAGAAATAGTCTAACTGCAAGATGGGAAACATTTAGAAAAACCTTCCGGTATTACCAAGAATCACTGTACTGAGCCAGTATCTAATCTGATGCAAGAACAAGACTACACATTACTACTGTTTGCAATGTTTAGGGATTAGCATATGTTCACTGTTGTGTATCTGTCAGAAGTTGGCAACAAAGCACACTGTCAGAAGTCCACACTCTCACTCAGTGTCGTTTTACATGTAAGAGGTACTGAGTGATAAGACAACATTTAGCTGTACTTTACATATTTCAGAGTTCTGGTCAAGCATTTCACAGTTTGGATATTGTCTGAGTGTGTTGTCTGCAGATTAATGTGCTGGAAGCTTGGTGCCAGTGTGGGAAGAGGTGGGACCTTCAAGAGAGAAAGCAGTTAGGCTGCTTAGTGTATTTCTTTCAGAATCCTGGTTAGTCTCTGGCAAAGTGAGTTGTTACTAGAATAAAACAGAATTTTAAAAAATTTTTTTAAAAAAGCATGTTTTGTCCCTGCATTCTAACCTCTCTCTTTCTGGCTTCCTGTCTGGACCGTGAGATCTTTCCCTTTTGTAGCCACTGCCCCCATGATGCCTGATGTGAGTAACACAGTGAAAGGTCCTCACCAAAGCAAAGCAGATGTTAGCACTAAGCTCATGACTGAGTGAAACAGTCTTTTTTTCTTTATAAAATATCCAACCTTGGGTATTTTGTTATGGAAAAAAATGTACTAATAACAAGCATTAAATAGTAGAAATTATTTGGGAGGAGTGTGTAAGTCAAAATCACTCTCAAAACCACAGCAAAGGATGTCCCAAAATGCCTCTGATCTAAAGGAAACCAAGTATCTCTTAGTAGTTAATCACTTCTACAAGATTCTTAGAGGGGAGCTAAGTGCAACAAGTAGCTACATCTTCCCAGGGAGCTGACATAGCCAGAAAACACCAAAAAGTAGATGCATGTGCAAAGCTACTCCTTGGAGGAACTGCTCAGATTCTCATAGAAACGCTGGTTCTAACCCTATACTTGGGATGGTCTCAGCAAATAACTGCATCTGTGCCCTTTCACGATTACGCACAATTACACTGCAGGTTGTTAGGGGCCAGGATTATAGAATTATCATTATAGAATGAAAGAATTATAGAATTATCATTATGGAATAAAAGCAGAAAATTTTCAAAAAAGCTGGGAATATTTTTAGTGCAGTCTTCAGAGGAATTAGTCACTGGAACCTATATAGGAAGTCTTCCATTAGGGGGGCTTGACATCCTTCCTCCATCATACCTATTTAAATTATATTAGAAATCAGAATAAGCTTTTGTATTAAACAGTTCTCACCTTAAGAGTTCTAACTGTAGAACAGGTAAGTTTCTCCTTTGATGTATCCTACAGGCTGCCTTCTGAGAATCCGAAGAGAACAACCAACTTCGATCATTTGAACATGGAGCATCAACTAACACCTAGAGGAAGAAGGACAAATGATGCAGATATATTCATAGAGAAGGTACATGACAAATAACAAGTACAAATAGAAACACTTCTTTCAGTACTAAAAATGCAGTATGTTTAAGTTCTTTAAAATATTTACTCACTAATACTTATCAGAAATTTTTTGTATATAATTTCTGGGGTTTTTTTTATGATACTGGAGATGGAATCTAGGGCTATCACACTGGACTATATCCTCAGCCCTTTTGTTTATTTTGAGACAGAGTCTTGCTATGTTTTTAAATTGATCAGGCTGAGCTCAAACTTTTGATCCTCCTGCCTTAGCTTTCTAGTGTTGGGATAAAAACATGAGCCACCATGCCCAACTACAGTTTTGGTTTTTGTTTATTTTGATTACAGAGAAGAAACACAGGAGGACTAAAGTCTACTGATGTCTGGCTGTATCTTTTTTATGGTGCTAGGCTTTGAACTCAGGGCTTAATAATACTAGGTTAATAGGTCTGCCCCTGAGCTGTATCTCGAGCTCTTGTTTATTTAATTTTGAGACAGAGTCTCACCATGTTACCCCAGCTGGTATCAAATCTCTGATTCTCTTACCTCAGCCCCTCAAATAGCTAAGCTCACAGGTATGTGCTTCTGTAGCTGTTAATGACTATTAATGACATTTGATATTTTTACAACCACATCAAAACTTACAAAAATCACTCATTTTAGACAGACATTATCATACCTTATTTCTGAATCCTCAACATTTTTAAGAATATTTCAATTTTCATTTACAGAAATGACTACTTCTGTAACATTCTTTAATACAAAATCTTACTGAACTGAAGCAACCTGGTGCACATGTTTGTGTACTGACCCAAATAATATCTGAGCTTTTCCTAAATATTTTTAAGCTACATGAAAACATATAGCATTGGGGTTGGGGATTTAGCTCAGCAGCATAAGCATCTGCCTTGCTAGCAGGCAGTCGTGAGTTCGATCCCCGGTACCGACAAAAAGGAAAAAGACAAAAAAAAAAAAAAAAATAAATAAATAAATAAATAAATATATATATATATATATATATATATATATATATATCATTCTATAATCCCCAAACCCAATGTTATGGCTTCCTTTGAATCATGTTAACCATCAAATGAAAAGTGTTTCCATGTTTACTTTATCCAAATTTCCCAGAATATTGAGAAACTCTATCAGGCTATGTCTGGGAGCAGAAGAAAAACAACAACAAAGCAACATAATAGTGGTAACCTTGGGAGTTTATCACTTTGTCAAAATGTAATAGAAGTACCTTGTCAAATGTTTCAGGCTGAGCATCTCCTATTTCTCTGCCATCCAATTCAGACACTTTAATTACGTTTCGCAAAGGCTGTGGGATGAAGGATTCTAATGTCTGCCTCAGCCATCTCAATCTCAGACTATCATATTCATTACAATGAAGATAACCTAAATATAAAAGATTAAAAGGTTTCAAATTAAAGGCAATGGAATTGTTAAATTTCTACTTTTCAATAAGTAAATTTCATAAAAATCAATTCACTATAATTATGCAGAAATAAGGCTTAGAGATAAGCATTATCATTATCTTATACTTTGAAAATAAACACACACAAACCATGTTTGTGTGCATGTGCACCTGTGTGTGTATGTGTAACATTTATATCCTCCCAGAAGCTCGCACATTTAATCAGTTTAACTGCGGGGGGGGGGGAGTAGGAAATCATGGATTCTTAAAGACATGCTGTACAAGCAGTACGTTGGACATAGTTCTCACCTGAAAGATGAACTAGGTAAAAATGTACTCTGCTGTACATATCTCAAGCTCTTTCCATGACCAAATAAGGAAGATAATAGAATATGTGGGGAAAAGTAAGTATTGAGACTCTATACTAAGGCAATCATTATTCAAATTATGAACAAGGAGACTTTAAATAAATTACTTAGTTCTTTAAATAAGAGTCTCAGCTTACTTATTTGTAAAGTGAGATTATATTCACCTACCTTGAGGTGCCTGAAAAGATTAAATGTGATAATCATCAGGAGCAGGATAGCAGCTAAGGGAGATGCTTTCAGTGGTGACTGTCTCCCATAAGAGATACTGATATGAATAACTATTTACACAAGAGCTAAAGAAGTCAGGTGAGAGATTACAGTGTCTGCCTTAGTAAAATAATGATAAAAGATGCTGAAGAAGACAGGAAGGGGAAAGGCTCCCATAACATCAGTCCCAAATCTAATTAAAGTGGCATCAAAAGGGACACTTCCCACTTGGGAGGGAGAACAATTAAGTTTAGACCTTAGACTTGAAACTCAGCCTGGGCCTACCACAGTGAAACCTAGGGACAGACATGCTCCATGGCACTTCTCTCTGGGTCAGTATCCACAGACCATACTCTGGATGCTCCACAGCCAAGCAGAAACTGCCTCTGCTACACTTCTGCTCACCTTGAGCAGTAGAGCAAGAAGCAAGAGTCCACTCACTAGGGAGTAGGGCCAGACCGAGCATAGGACTTCACTTTGGAGCTCAGTTCCAAGACCATCACAGTGGAGCCCAAAAGTCTCTATTCCCAGACCAGGGCTTCTACATGGAGTGTCTCGTCCTGCAGGTCTTATGTAGACAGCTGAAATCTGGTGGCACAGATTCACAATTCAGCATGCATCGCTGCCAAATGATGCCTAGATGCTGTGCACACTCTTTCCCTGCAGCTATCAGACTCCATTTGTGACCCAGCTAAGTATCAGCCTGGGAAACGAATAGAATATCTTCCCCAACCTTGGGCAGCAGAGCGAGGAGCAAGACTCATGTCCCTGGGCCAAGGCAGTAATGTGAAGGGAGGACTTTGTCTTAGAATTCAGGGTCAGGCTGGTCAAACCTAAAATTGGGCAGATTGTAACAGTCCTCATCACCAGGCCAGTGGCTCCAGAGAACACCTCCACATCAGTACAGGCGCCACAGCTGATAGGACCTCTAGTCCAGTCAGCGTCACATCTGGGCTATGAGTCCTCCTCAGCAGGTAACAGCCCATAGCACTATGTGTGTGCTCTGTTCCTAGGGTCAGTACTCCTCCTGTTTTGAGGCCTACAGCCAAGAAGAATCCTGCAGTGCCTAAACACAGGCTATAGATAAGGCATCTGAGCCTAGCCTGGGCCCAAAAAGATATGTTCCTAAGTTTATTTAGCATAACCCATTGTACCTACTCTGGATATGCACCAAAACTCAGCTTTGGGTGCCCTCTAGTGCTGAAATAGCAAAAAAGATTCATCTACTCAGAGAAGGGAACTGCCTGGAAATTCCTAGAAGGGAAGACACATGGAAAGCCAAATTATGAAACCTGGAATAAACACTTAATCCTGCAATGTAAAAACTATACCACATGCTAAGAGGCTAAAAGAACTTTCAGGGAATCGTGACCTCACCCAATGTACAAAATAAGTCACTGGAAACAAACCACACAATAACCAGTGTCTGAGAACTATCAGATAGGAAACTAAAACTAGCTGTTTTACAAAAACTTGGTAAGCTTCAAGAAATCATTCATAGTATAATGGACAAACTTACGAAAAATTAAATTGTTTGTTTGTTTGTTTGTTTTTGACACAGTTTCACTTTACAGTTCAAACAGGTCTTGAACTCCCACTTTGTAACCCAGGCTGGCCTTGAACTCACAGAGATCCTCCTGCCTCAGCCCCTGAGTTCTGGAATTACAGGTGTGCATCATCACACCTAGCTGAATAGTATTTTTAAAAACCAAATTTTAAAATGTGATAGAAGACATAAATAGCAGAACAAATCAAATAGAAGAAAAGAATCTGCAAGCCGAAAGATAGGTTTATTTGAAAAAATAAAATTAGAGGAGAAACAATAGAATAAAAAAAAAAAAAAAAAAAAGAAAGAAAGAATATGGAGCTCTGGGCTAGCACAAAAAGAGCAAATATTTGAGAAGCCAGCAGGCAGGCCTGTGCTGGGCACATGGTGCTCAGCCTCCATGTGAGCAAGCAGGCCCACACCATATACGTAGTGCCCAGTCCCAGAGAAAGACAGCAGCCTTGACGAGACAGATGGTGCTCTGCTCCGATGCACGCAAGCAGTCCTGTGCCTGCCCTGACCCGTGTCACAGTCCACCAACTCCAACTTTGGAACAGGGCAGTAGAGCTGAGGATTAATCAACTCAACTGGTCCTGGATGAGGAAAACATACAGGAGGGAAGGTAGCAGGGAACCAGACCCCACTATATACAGCAGAGACCGGAGCACTGACTGTATTTCCCACCTACCAGTGGGAGTGCCTTGGCTTTGACAGTAGTCACAGTCTGGAATAAACAGATGGATGGGTTTCTGGGGCAGCTCAAAAACTTATAGGCCATCAAGCTACATAGAGAAAATTTTTATGATTTTCCGGATCCCACGACTATAGACTTTAGAAAGAAACTACTCTTTCGAAAACATGGAAATTTTAGTTTTTACTCAATCTTTTTTTGATTTTTCTTTTCTTAAAACTATTTTCATCTTTTCTTCATCAAGTTTTTTGAGGGGTGAGGTTTTTCTCTGTTTTCTTCCTCTTTTAGTTTCTTTTCTTGTCTCTTTTTCCTTTTAACTTTTTTGTCTTCTATGGTATCTTTTTTTTTTTTTTTTTGGTGCTGGGAATTGAACTCATGACAGCGCGCCTGCAAAGGAGACACTTATGCTGCTGAGCTAACCCCCAGGCCCTCATGGTATCTTTTATTTACTGTACTTTGCTCTTTTTTGTTCTTTTCTTATTCATTCTTCCCTGTGACTGTTTTTTAATACTATTAACTTTCTTCTCCACCTCAGCAGGATCCCCACTTCACATTCTTCACCTCCTTCTCACATCCCATTAATTTTCAAATTTTGGTTTTACATTTTCTGGTTCCCTATACCTTTTACTCTTCCTTGTGTACCTATTAGGTTTTATGACTCTCCAGAAAACTAATTAACTTTATACAATTGTTGTTGAATACTGTTCTATTGTTAGTGCAGGTAAAGTTCTTCCATTTTACAGATATTACTGTAGGACAACAGTAGTTCAATATCTGATTTGTCATAGTGTTTATGTTGTAATTATTCTCTTTTCTGTGGTTAAGGTAGTACACTATTGGTCCTTACAGTTTGTCAGTATTCAATTTTTACTTGATGTTATAATTGCAGCTGATTTTATTACAATAGCCAACTTGTTGCTATTAATTGGTTTTCTTGAGATGTCAATATCTGGATTGCCTTGGGGGGTCAGTAAAAATAGTGTGGTCACTTCCTAGTGAACTGGGTACTGGGGTAAATATGCTGCAAGCTCCCCTCCCATGTAGTGGATATGGCTGAATCCTGGGACAGAAGCAAAGGTCAATAATTAGCCAGGTCCAGAGGATACCACTGAAAAGTTGAGATTATCTAAAGGTTTCTATATTACAAAAACAGTTTTCCATTACAATTAATCACAAACCTATATACACACACACACACACACACACACACACACACGCACACGGGGTGGGGGGAGAAACATGTAAATACAAGCCAATACAAGGTGCCTCCAAAAAGTTGTAACTTCCCCAAACTGATCCACGGGGTATAAAAATGGAGCAAAAAAAGTCACACACTTGAATTAGGGCGGACTGCTGCTTCCAGCACAGCTCTTGAAATTCCAGAGGTGAAGGACAGCAGAGGATGAAGAAATGAAGAAGCAGAATGGAAAGCTGAGGTCAGGTGAAGGAATCAGGAGTTTCAACTACTGTTAGTTGAAACCCCTCTGCTTAGGATGTCTCACATTCTCAAATCAGGAACAGCTTGTTCACATAGCTCACCTCAGGCCTCTATACCTGTGATCAATCTCCAGCTTCAGTCATTCCCACAGGAGATAACAAAACACATCAGTAAGACAAGCAGTTTGCCAACCTCGTGGAAGATACAAGAAAAGAAATACTGAACCAAATAAACAAAATGATCAGTGAATCCGAGGAAGACACTAACAAAAATCCAGCAGGGCTAAATGAAGTGATGCAAAACATGAATGGCCAGCACAAAAAAGAATTAAGAGCACACAGAAAAGCTCCAAATTGCAATTCAACAGATTAAAAATTCTATTAAAAATGTAGGCAGTAGAATTATAAGGACAGAGTGTCACAACTAGAAGACAGGGCTGTTGTCAGTGGCCAATTAATGAGAGATACCTTAAGCACTTAACAGTTTACAAACATCACTCAGGCAGACTATTTGTTTATGTACTGACCATCCTGAGCACCACTCTGGCAGGTGTCATTCCATCCAGCAGACTCTTGTATTGTATAAATCTAGTAAAATCATCATTTTAATATTTGGTGTTATGTCATCTTTTCTTATACAGCTATCCTGTATTCACAGAAAGTGGACTTCAAGCCAAACTGATCAAAAGAGGCAAAGAAGGTCATTACATTTGGTTGCATTAAAAATCTAAC